CTCGAGCTCGGATTATCGAGATGACAAAAGAGCAATCTTACTTTATGTTAAATTTATTATTATTATTATTATATATGGATGGGCGAGATGTGATGAGTAAGCATCACATCGCTAATATTGACATGTACAAATATATGTTTACATGTATTTGATTCAAATCCTAAGTGGATTGGATCCAATAATATCATATTAGTTATATAAAACACTATTATTTTAGGCACACAATTCACTTTTAGTCATATGTATATGTATGATTTGAGAGCTTGATTCCCTAATAATTCACTCTAATCATGTTTGTTACATTTATCATAATTCTCTAATATAAAACTCAGCTAACCAACAAGATTTGATTTGATGATGAATAGGCATGGCACGAATAGTAAGGAAGATAATTGCAATAAACAAAATAGATTATCGACAAAGAAAAATAACACATAGAAAACTAAATAGATTACGTTGGTCGTAAAACCTGAAGTTGCTCTGAGACGAAAATATAATACTCAAGACCAAAATCGAGTGGGATTTTCTGAAATGAAAGAGATTCTGAAATGTGAGTTAGAGTAGTTTTTTTTTTATCATTATTTTTATTTATAATATATTTATATAGAAGAAAATTTATGATTATTTTCTCTTATTATAACGAAGAAGGAATGAGGTTTAGGATTAATGTCCTTGTCATAAAAAAAAAAAGTAGATAATGAAGTTTGTGTTTCTCATTTATATTTTTTCTATTATACCACTTTACGTGCTAATCACATATCAATTATTGATAAATATCTTATCATCAATAAAATTATCTATAATTTATTAAAGTATTACTAATTTTACCAATAAAAAGATCTTAGGAACTGAAACTCTTTGCTTAATAATAAAGAGAAATATATGTTGGAAACTAAAAATAAAGAGAAATATATGTGGAATTCAGTGTACGATCCCATGTCACAAGATTGTGTAGCTCAGAATTGCGCACATCAATCATAAAATTTCCCTCAGCTAATTAAAGCCACTCACATTCCATGCTTTTATCATCATATTTCCAATGCATTACCCAATGATCCCACGTGGAGATTTTTGGGCTTGAGTGAAGGTGGTGGTGGGTTCAACGGTGGTGGATGAGGAATCCACAATAGCATGAAGATCAAGGATCTGACGTGGTTTGAAAATACCTCTTAGAATGTGTGGTCATAGGATGGTTGGAGACTTCGGGGCCGTGAGGCTGTGTTGTTGGAAGAAGTGGTCGAGAGTCATTGACACAGGCCGGGTCAGGTGGAGGTACGTCAGGGTCACTTGGCCAAGAAGGAGGTAAAGATAACAATTATAATCCTGAACCAAGTACCCCAATAGTCAGAGAAGAGAGAAGTAGAGGAATGAGCAATTGCTAAACCAGAGGAGTGGAATAATGTGGATCATGAGAGGAGAAACTAGACGATGTCATGGGAGGCTCGTCCGGTTGGATCGGAGGTATACCCCAATGAGAAATGGTTAATAAGGTGGTCTGCATGGTAGGAGAGGTATGGTTGTGAAAAGGAAAGACAAACTCAACAAAAATAACATGACGCGATATAAAATTTTTTTAAGTGTGGAGATTATAGCAGCAGAAAACATTATGTTCAAAAGAGTAACATATAAAAACACAAAGATTAGATCGTGATATTAACTTGTGAGAGGCATAGGGACGCAACCATGGATAGCATAGACAACCAAATACTCTGAGTTTGCGAAGGTTTGGGAGTTTGTGAAATAGTGAGTCAAAGGGGGATTGGTATTGTAGGACTGGCGTAGGCATTCTATTAATAAAGTAGACGATAGTTTGAAAGGCTGTCGTCCAAAAGTTTGAAGGCATGGAAGCCTGATGGAGAAGTATGAGCCCAATTTCTATTATATGTCGATGTTTGCATTCGGTGGAGCCAACAAGTTGGATACCACAAGTTGAGAGATAGGACGCTAGAGCTTGATATTCACCGTCACCATCAAAGTAAACCATTTTGATGGTAGACTGAAAGTGGTTTTTGACCAACTTTCGAAAAGTGGGAAAGATGATCGAAACGTCATATTTATGGTGAAGAGGATATAACCATGTGTACTTAGTGAAGTGATATATAAAAATGATATAAAATCTGAATTTATCAAAAGATAGGATTGGGGCAGGGCCCCAAACATCTGTATAAATAATTTCAAATAGTTTAGAGGTGGAAATGGAAGATGGGCCAAATGGTTGTCGATGACTTTTATTACTAAGACATACATTACAATGCGTTATAGAACTGTGCGATTTAGAAATAGGAAGAGAGAAACTAGAAAGTAATTGTGCTGAATAAGGGATAATGGATGATCAAGACGACGATGCCACATATCAACTAGAGCCACAATGAAAGAATGAATAGTAGGTTGGGTTATTTGTGGAGCTGATGACCATTCGTAAATGTTTTCTCTATTCAGGCCCTGGATCAAGGATGCCCCCGTGCTCAAGTCCTTAACAAGAAAGGAATCAGGAAAGAATTCAATTAAAGTATTATTATTTTTGCAAAACTGAGAAACAAAAATGAAGTCACGTTTAATATTAGGGGCACATAAAACATCATCGAGTGTAAATGTAGTAGTATAAGAAGTAAGCGTTGTGGAACCAGTATGAGTTATAGGAAGGCTGTTACCATCATCGATGATGATATCTTCATCGCCACCATAGGAATTATGGAGAGACAGATTCTAAATATCAGAGGTGATATGATGGGAGGCGCTAGAGTCCACAATCCAATTAAGTTGGCTAGTTGTCGGAGTAGTGAGGAGATTTGCTTGAGGCCAGTGTGATAGAGCAGGAAGGCGAGGTCGAGACCGACAAACTTTAGCGAAGTGTCCGATTTTATTACACAACTGGTAGATGATCCATCGTTGGTGGCTTAAAGGGGCAGGATTCCAAGGTGGACGAGTATTGGAGTTGCCACTTTATGAGAAGTTAGGAGGATAAGGGGGGGTGTTACATGGGGCCCATACGATCAAGAATACCTTTGGTGATGTTCGGAGGGTACTGAGTATTCTTCCTCTTAGTCTTATAACTGACTTGAGTTGTGATAGACAGTCCGGGTAGTTTATTCGCACGCTTCAAATACATCTCATAGTCAATCAACTTGTCATAGAGTTCGATATTTTGTAGATAATTAGTGATAGTACCCCTCTTGTTTGGCCACCATCAGCTTGGATAGAAGACTAATCTTGCGAGTACGTGAATGATTCGCCAATGTTGTTTGCAGTTTAGACCACACATCGGAGCGACGGATCCAGCAACTGAGGCTTGAATAGCTTGGAAGATGAGACGATCTTGACGTAACCATAGTTTGTGAGCTGGATTAGGTAATGGACTAGGTTCTCCAAGGATGTTAAGCATGGCTGGCGGACAATTGAAGAAGCCATCAACGTAACCTAGCAAGTTGTATCCAAATAAGAGATTAGAAAATTGAGCCAGCCAAGACGCATAATTGCCACTCTTTGATAACTTGAAAGGGATTAGTATGACTGCATTGATGGAGATAAGCCCTGTAGTAGAAGAATTGTGAATCCTTGCAGAAATAGGAACTGGAATATCAAAATAAGATAACAAAAGACATCCCAGCGAGGATTGTTGCTGCAACGAAGATTGCTGCGACAGCAAAGATTGCTACGACAACGAAGATTGCTACGACAACGAAGTCTGCTGCGACAGCGAAGACTACTGCTAAAGACTACAGCTGCTACAGATCGTTACTACTGCTGTAGCTGCTACAGATTGTTACGGCTACTACTGCAGCGATGAGGAAGCTGCAGTGATGTTAAAGAAATCTGCAATGATGCTGCAGTAGGAGAAACTTGTGAGAAATCTGCTAACGCTCCGTCGGCCTCAATGCAGGAAGCGGTAGCAGCAGTAGATGCAGCGAAAGCTACCATGGCAAAGGAAGCAAGATGCAACGGTAGATGGAAGCGACTACTGCTGCAAGAACTACAATCGTTCCTACTGCCGCAGGAAAGCACTGATGGTTGTGCAGCAAGGATGGCGGCAGCAGCACTTCTCGCTCGAGCGAGATGCGAGAATGAGGAGGAGAGGTCGCTGGCCGGGGAGTAGTTGCGAGGACAGCAACCACCACGGCAGCGTAGGCGAGGTTCTTAGGAGGGCAGGAGGTGGCTGACTCGGTCGATGACGGAGTCGGAGAGGCGAGAGAAGAAGCCCGTAAGCGCCGAAGGAGAGGTAAGCAACGGCGTTGCCCTTTCCAACCGGACAGGAAAGAGGAGGCGACGGGAGAGCAATCACCGGTCTTCTGCAGTGGAGGAAGGAAGTCAACACCAGTCCTTCCGGCTTCCACACCGACACCTAGAGGAGCAGCAGAAGTTCGGTAGAGTTGCCTATATCTGCAAGGGAGAAGGCTCTGATACTATGTTAGAAAAGAGATAAAAAGAAAATTATTAAAGAAACTTAATTGTATTCCTATTTATACAAGTTATGCGAGAGAATTTTTCTTAACAGATTAGAGAATTTTCCTCAACAGTACTATTATCATGAGTTATAAAATCTGAAAACTTCAATTGATACTAATATCCTTTAAACATATTGAGTAATTCACTTATTATATAGTTACACGTATATAACTCAAACTACTTAGCATTAATCATATTTAAAAGTGATTAATCTTTTTATAGATATTATTGAAAAAGGAAGGAAGGGGCCCATTATATATATATATATATAAAGCTAATTTTCAAAGGATATGTGTGCAAAATCTCTTTCTTACTTTAATCACCTGGAGTGAGGCTCGTCTGTCTCGCGTCAGGGTCCAGCTTATCTGGTGACGTATCCGCTTGAAGGCTGAATCTTGAACTGGAAAGTGCAGCAGATCCTTGCAAAACATCAATCAATCAATCAATCAATCAATCAGTCAGAGCGTCAAATGAACCGTCCAGATGAAAGGGCTCGAGGGCATTTTAGGACTTCCAAGTTGGGTCTCTCTCTCTCTCTCTCGTTCTCTTCACGCAGACGGTGGTCGGTAGTCGGTACTACGTCCCCGCGCGAACTCCGACGCCTACGTCAAATAATCGCCGAATCTTTTCCTCGCGATTCTGAAGCCCCAACAAAGCCCAATTTCTCGGCTTTATTTAAATTTAGATTGTTTTCCCGCCACCCGATAAATTGGCGATGTTTCCGAGGCCCCCGTGCTGTCCTCCGGACTCTCCTCAGCGTGCCGGGAGCGGGTCGCCATTTCCTCGCCCCCAAACCCCGAGCCCCATCCCTAAGCCCGCTCGTCCTCTCTCTTCCTTCGTCTCCAACGCGGTGGATCGTCGGCCTCTTAGGGCTCCCGGGGAGCTGCAACTCATCACCGTCTTGCTTCCCGTTCTTTGTTTGATGAGCCGTGGGTCCGATCGCGCTGCGGATTTCCGGCTCTCCGGCGATTTCTTCCTGCTTCTGCTGCTGTTCCTCTTGGCCTTCTTCTTGTTCCTCTTGTCTCTCGTGCTCTTCGGTTTCCTTGGCCTCGTCGCTCTCTCTCGCCTTCTCCTTGAGTGAGTCTGGGGAACAAGAGGGGATCTGTTTGGGCTTTTAGCTTCAGAATCAACCGATTCCTCAAGGGACTTAATGGAATTCCTCAAGACAAGGTTTCCAAGTCGTGTTGGTAAGTTGAAGGGGGTAAAAAACCCAGATCAGGACCGAGAACAGTTGTCCTTGTCCTCGGAGGAGCTCAAAGATGAGACCTTGGACGCAATGCCGAAGTCGGCTACCGCTCCGGATGGGGGAGACGACGACGACGACGACGATTTCATCACGAACGACGTGAAGAGGCGGCTGAAGGAACTGAGAAAGAACAGCTTCATGGTCCTCATACCAGAAGAAGGCCCTCCGGGAGAGCAGGAAGAGGAAGAGGAAGAGGAGGAGGAGAGCAGCTCGAGTGGGTGGGGGGGTGCCTCAGAAGCCGGTGCTGGGTATTCCTGTTGTGGGTTCGACACATTTTATGACCAGTACTGCGACCGGATGCTGTTCTTTGACAGGTTGATATCCCGGCATCTAAATGAAGCTGGTATGGCATCAACAAATGCATCTGCATCTCAAAGATTCTGCAATCATATTATTATCCATAGAGATATGTATTTTAATACTTGATGATGAGCTTCAACTTTGTAGAATTTAAATTGCCGTGTCCGGTGAATGATTCCAAGTGCATTTTGCCTCTGTATCACCTCATGTTCTTAACTTTGATCTAATGTTCCGCTCCTATTAGTGGCATTAGTTTGATCCTAATCCGAGCTACTTCTGTCAAGTTTCATACAAGTTTACGACATACATGTTACAGGATCTCGGAGTACCTCACAGCGATCACTCAGATCTGTGTCGAAGAAGTTAGATTTGGCCCTTCGAAAGCTCCGTTTCAAGAAGGGGCAAGACGAGCACCCAGACGACCGCGAACAACCACAGCTGCCGCAGCAGGAAGACGAGCGGTGCCGAAACCTTGAAGCTGCTTATGTAGCGCAGGTTTCTTTAAGTTGGGAGGCACTTCATGGTCAGTACATGCAACTGAGAGTGAAGATTTCGTCGCAGCCGGAGGATGGTGCTTCCTATGGCAATGCTGCGCAATTGTTTCAGCAGTTCCAGGTTTTGTTGCAGAGATTTATTGAGAACGAGCCATTTGAGCAAGGATCTAGGGTGGAGGTTTATGCCCATGGCCGGAGTTGGCTGTCTAAGTTGCTTCAGGTGCCGAATTTTCTAGGTAAAAATAAGCAACTCCGTTAAACTTCTCTTCAGTCGTTTCAATCACATTCCATTTGTGAGATTAAAGAATCTGTGCTTTACACCTGTCTTTTACATAATATGTGGTGGAAACTGAGTGATCTCTAGGTTATCATCTTTTAGACAGAACAATAGGTATTATCATGCAAGAACACTAACCTCAAATCCAATATTCTGTTCTTCGATATGCTTTTGCTTTCCTTTCAGGTATAGATCAGAAAGAAAATGTGGAGAATTATACGGACTTGCCAATTCTTGCTGCCGACTTAGTTAAGATAATGGAGGATTCCATCCTAACCTTCCACCTTTTTCTGAAGATGGACAAGAAAAGAACAGGTAGCTTCTTTCGAGCTCACAGCCCTCGGAGCTCCCTTCATCAAGTGCAAGCCTCACTTGATAAGGTATGCCACATGATCGAAGATAGATGCATGCTGCAAGTAAAATGATCAGTAGAAATATTATAAATTGGTGATTCATGGCTTTGAATTGCAGAAGGAGATGAGAGTGAAGGAACTGTTCAAAAAGAAGAAAGGGTGGAGGAAGAGAACCTGGCCGACCACCACGGAGGAAGTGGAACTGCTATTTGCTCTCATCGACATCAAAGTCATATCGAGGGTTCTGAGGATGGCACGGCTCAGCAAGGAACAGTTGTTATGGTGTGAAGAAAAGATGAGCAAGCTCGATCTGTCGGGCAACAGACTCTGCAGGGATGGCTCGCTGCTCCTCTTCCCCTGTTGATAGTGCGCTTTGCTTGTTTTTCCTCCTGTGCTTCTATTAGGACATTTATCAGACAATATATCAACCTTTGATCTGTAAAGTGCAGTAGTGGCCTTCCAATTGTGACACATACTATGATACTATAGTAATAATAAATCAATACTACGACAGTTCAAAAATTTATTATTGACTGAAATTGATAAATCAAAGCATAACATCGCTCATTAATTTTCTAAGGTAGCAATCAAGATTTTTTCAAAAGATCAAAAATAGCACGCCATCCAAACTGGTAAACTAATCAAAGAGGGAGAACCCCATGTCATCGTCGCTCTCCTCTTTCTCTTCCTTCTTTTCCTCGGGAGTGGGAGGTGCATCTGGAGCAGCAGCACCGCCACCAGATCCTGCAGCTGCGCCACCTGGAGCACCAGCTCCGATAAATGCTCCACCACCACCTCCCCCAATTATTACCTGTACGTCCAGAAGCAAAATAACCGTGAGAGGAGATACACAAACTGATATCTGTAATGAAGCAACTTATATTACTCTCAACACAACCTGCCCACAGTAGAGCTGAACATGATGATGAACAGAAGCACACATACGAAATTAGCTCATGCTTCTAACATTGTTTAACATGCCCATACAAGAGCACATGAAAAAGAGATTCACAAGATAAAAAGAGACATCTTGCGGGCATCACCATCTGCACCAGGCATAAAAGAAGACTCTTGAATAAGCAAAAAGAACTTTCTACTGTTTCGATTTGTCACTTATTTGATTTGAAGATTTTGTCAGAAATAAACCGCCATGGCTTTTACAGGTCGGACACCATTGTCGCTTGAAGCATACTATCCAAATTGCGATTCTTTATACAATTGCCTGAGTGATCGGACATGATCGGACAAGATTGAACCCGCTTCGGCGAATGCGTGCAAGCAACCAAAAGGAATCTTAACACACAGCATATGTAAGGCATTTATTTTATAAGACTGTAGAAGCAAGCAGTGTAAAGCAACCAAGTTCACATACCAATCTTCTTAAATCTTATTTAGGTTGGATAATAATTTGCTGGATGATATGATCCATGACACCAATAAAAAAAGCAGTAACCAGCTACTAGGCAAAATTAACTTTGATAATTATCAAAAAGAAGAACCCAAGAGTAATATCTTCGGAGTGACAAACCATTGATCTTCCAATATAACATATAATGCGTAGGAAAGGTTGATGCGTCCTTAGATTAGGATAAACACTGACGGAGTAAGGCCCCAAAGAACCAAAGATGTATGTTTCCAGGAAGTGTAAACTGTCTCCTACGCTTTGCCACTAATAACACATATTTAAGCATTACAATAATTCCCAGCTCGATCTCTGGTTGCTCTCGAACATACAATAAGTATATATCTATAATAGAGGAATCCAACAAACTCCTTCCAGATAGCATTTACTTATCGCAAAACCATCACTAATTTAAAATCATTCTTACTATACATATAGTGCATCTTCCACATAATTTGCCCTTTCAAGCTTTCTCAAACCTCTTCCCACCTTACCTCTCTTGCTCAAAGGACGAACCTTTCCCTAAATACAATGACAAGATACATATCTCATGACCTCCTGACTACAAAAGAGAAAAAAATCTAATAACATAATTGATCACAAGAAATAAGGAAGATAAGAGCTTGTTGTAAGCCTATCTATGATAAAGATTAATTTGCGATCAACGACAAGTAGAGACACACATTAGGCGAAATCAAGGAAAGGCCTCTCACCTGGAAGACGGCCGAAGAGGGGGAGACCATGGAGAAAGAAGACTGGACGCAGCCAGTGGAGTCAACTGCGAGCGCCTCCTGGACGAGCAGCCGCTGGAGGTCGAAAGTCGAAGCGGCCGACGCCTCCAGGTCCCCGGAGAGCTGCTTCGCGCTCCACTCGCCGCCGGAGCTGCGGCACACGAAGGTGAACACGCCCATCGCCCTTCCGCGTCTCCTCACTCGCGCCGACTGGAAGCTGTACAAACCCTAGGAATGGACGGGCCCTCGTCATCCCACCTCTCCCCTTTTATAGTAGACGCACCATACTGAATGGACAAAAAAGCCCATCACATTATAGTTTCTTCGCCAATACAGTTCGACCACGTGCAGATCACGTGACAGAAGATTTGGTTGGGGGACTTGAATTGGACCGGATCGATCATGCGTTGCTGATTTGATGGACCACATCACGATTCATATGATGGGTCGTTAGATTGACCATTGGCCAACGTGTATACATCAAAGATACATACGAGTCCAGATCACTTCGAGGCGGTAATCTTGGCGAGCACTTGGACTTGATCTCAAATGCTACCAGAAACATCATGTAATCACAGCCGTCGACTTGATTTGATGCACATGTGCCCCTATTCTTCAACTGAGGTATTGAGTTGATCCTGTTGCTATCTTTGTGTTCAGCTATAGATATTATTTTTACTAAATTAGAAAAAAATATTTTATAGAAGAAAAATACAAAAATTATCCTCCTATCAAAATGTGCAAACAAATAAAGTTGAGAGAGGACCACTGTAAATTTAGATGATTAAATATAAAAATAAATCATTTCGTGTGCATATATATATATATATATATATATGTATATGTATATATATCAAAAAAATTATCTTGGTCCTCGGAGAAGCCCAAGTCTAAACTGCAAGCTCAGTTCAAACCCAAATCAAAGTTCATATTTTAGCCCAAATCATAACTCCAAGTTCTTCAAACTTTGAATCTAAATTTATCGGATGAAGTTTTAGAAACACCTAATAATTATTATGGATTGAAGGTTCAAAACTTTATCTAATATTTTTTTAAGCAATATTACCTAATTTAGAGGTTTTGGAATGAAGTCTCATGTGAGATTATTGCTTGCAGCAGAAGGCCACTGCAGATAATGAAGGCCACTGCAATATTATCTCATGTGACATCCAATCCTTGCATCTTTTAGACATCAGAGGGAGGAACCCTTACAGCTTCTCCCCCTCATTATCAGCTAAAGCTACTCTCATCCAGGTGTTGTTTGCTCTGTTATTTACCATATCATTACATCTCATGCATTCATTTTAGTTGATTGCAAAATTGTCAGGCAAGTCACTATCACTCTGCAGATATTTCTGAGTTTTGGATAATTACATGGATATTCTGATTATTTTTAGAGAATGCTGGTGAATACATACAAGATGGACAGCAGGGTAGCATATGAGCAAATTAATGAGGATAGCATGATGGTGAATTGGATGATATGGTGGTTTTGTTGTTGGTGTTAGGCATTTATGACTTGATTATGGCTTGTCACAATCTTGTTTATTGCAGGTGTTGGGTCTTTATCACTAGATTTTTGCATTCACCCCTGTGGAGCATTAGATCAATGGTTTATTATCAGAAAATAAAAAGTGAGGAAAAACAAGGATCAGATTCTGCTTGAGTTCTTGAGCTCTTGAATTCCACATGATCAAGTTGTATGTGCATTTTGATGTGAAAAAAATAATCAAATCCTCATTCAAAATTGCCTTTAAACAGCTGTCCAATTGCAGCAGAAGGCCACTGTAGATCAATTGGAAGATTTCTGTTTGTTTTAGTTTTCACATGAGAATGTTTAGAATAATTCTGATCTAATATTTTAGATTAGAAAGGAAACAAACATATATAAAAAGGAACAAATCAAATTTGATTTTGATCAAGATTGTATCTCTACAAGAATGAAAATCTATCCCCTTCAAAGAACAAAAAAGGTAGATGGAATGATGCAATACTATATTTGTTTTAGGGAGTTGTTTGCCTGAAATAACTCCTTATTATCTTCTTATTTTCATTCCTCTATTATTACAAAAGAAAAGGCTTTGTTAGTTCTTGACCAGCTTGTCCTACATAATGGATGTCCTCAATCACAAACTGAACATCTAGCATCTTTTTCTCTTCACACATTATGATTATTATTTCCCCTGATCAACCTAATCCAGCTGATCTCCTGCTGTAGAGGATGAAGAAAGATGGGGATCAACCAATCAGGTGGGACAGAACCTGGTCTGTCTTCATTCTTTTCAGGCCCTATTCAATGTCACAAGAACATGAAATGTCCACTTCAACAGGTAGGGAAGATGCCCTACTTGCTAACCAGCCCTTAGGTGATGTGGTGTCATTGTGGTCTGAGTCAAGTGAGCTGGCTCTTGTGGAGTTGGGTGGATGAATGATGAATGTATGGTGCTTAGATCTTGCATTTAATGGACTTTGGGATTTTCTTCTGTGCATCTTTTTAAGCACATAAAATAGTGTAAATTTTGTTATACCAACAAAAAGAGAGAGTGAAGAAAACAAAAGAGGAAGATCCCAAGTATGAGAATGATATCATATAATAGATTATAACTTTATTTGCTGTCTGTGGTGCATGTGTAATCAATACATACTCTAGTTTTTCTAGGTATAATAGAGATGCTGAGTCACAATACATAATTGTGCTTTTGTGCATACTCAATAGTGTTTTATGTGTTATAGAATAGTTAATCATGTCAAAGTACAAAAGTAGTGAGTCTTAAAAGCAAAAGTTGGACTTTTCAAAAAGGATCAGACCTCATTTGACATTTTTTTCTTTATTCTTTTTTTCTGTTTTGGAAATATAAGGTAAAAGGGATTTATGTATATCAGTTTGCTGTTACAGAGACTGTACAATTTTGAAGAATTGAGGGACCAGAATAAATAGCTAGGACAAAAGATAAAGACAACATGAAAAAGAAAGAGAAGGATTTAATGGAAAAGGATGTATGTTTATGATTGGCTCTTTTCATCATCAATTAAAAAGAACATATCCATGCACTGGATTTTCGCCGATGAAAAGTTTGGGGAGGATTAATATATACTATCTTAGTTTTAAAAAATAAAAAAAATATTGACTCAAAAACCTGATCTTTCATATCGTAAGAGAACAATCTTTCTGTTATATTAAAGCTTATGCTCTTTAATTAAAAATATTAATTTGAAAGCATAATCTGAACAAATAAAACATCCAATAAATCCTTCACTTCTTATAAAATACCAGGGATCTCTATCCTTTATGCTTAAAAAAAAAAAGAAGGTACTGACCCATCTTTCAATGGTAATATATTAAATCATCCTCTTTAGGAGACTTAATTTGATAGTAAGATTGTTTATGGCATGAAGCATCAAAGTTTAAGTCATAAAAAGAATAGTTAAGACTGCATATATTGACCCTGAAAACTCCGGTACCTATCACTAGAAAAATTGTAACTTGCTTTTATTAAGCTGTTAGTTTCGATTAAAAGTCATTAGACATTATAAAACAACTGTTCTTCAAGCGAGTAAAAAAAGACTGCAAATTAACTTTCAGAACTCAGTATACTCAAGGAACTGACCTTAAAAAATGTCATGATTCTTTAGTCACACGTGATTTGAACAAACTGTCATAGTACTCAGTTAAATGCATTTGTTTATTGAATTCTTTAGTCACACATGATTTGAACAAACTGCCATAGTACTCAGTTAAATGCATTTGTTTATTGAATTCTTTCTCCTGTTCTGCTTTCTCTTTTGAGTTCAAGAAGTATCTAAATTAATGCACTGTAGCTCTTGCTAGGTTCACAAAGAAATTTATGCAGTCTACAACCAGATTAAGCTGTTCTGAAATATGCAGCATCAAATTTTTCCTTCTGCTGTAATCATTAAAGCTTGATCCATGCATTTTCAAGGAATGTTCTATTTTGCCAGCCGCTATCACCTCAATTATTTTCAAGCATTAACAACTGACACTCTCAGAAAATTCAAATAATCAATCCACAGAGTTTCAAAGGTCAACATTGTTCACTCAAAGAGAAGAATGCCTTTAAGAAGCTATAATTTATTAAACAATAATGACAAAAGATAATTAAGAAACAATTAAGAGATTGCTTTGCTTAAAAAGAGATAATAGGTTTATTTACCTATTGAATTTATTCCCCATGCATATTCTTTTTACTTCACTTTCTCAATAGCCTCCTTTAATCAGTTTTAGGATATGCCACAGAAGAGGTCAGTCCCTTTTAGCACAAGGTGGTCCTAAGGTGCAGTCCTTATAATTTGATGTGATGTTAATAGATGAATCAAAGGAGTCTTTCCCCTCACCTTCCAGGGTCTATGATCATGTCAGGCCATCTAATTTACAAATGTCAGCACTTGATTCACTCATTATTCATCTCATTGCATGTGCTCTTCAATATATTACATTTAACTAAGAACTTGTTCTTTTACAGTAAGAGAATTTGTCACCCCCTCTTTATCTCTAAACTCATCTATGATGTAAATGCAAATTCAAGTGTTAAATACAATGTTCTGCCTTCAGTTTTATCATCATATTCCAAACTCTGATGGCTAAGAAAAGAACAAACTAATTGGACAGAGAGGTTCAAAAGGACTGGTAAAAAACACAATCTATAAAGCCCCATAGTACAATATTCTCACCAACTTGATCCATAATTTGAAGAGGAGGATTCCTGCCTTTTTTTCTCTCTCTCTGATTCTGCATTTGGTCAACTTCTTCCATGCTCCAGGGTTTGTTGTACCAGCTGAGGACTGGTAACAATGAGGTCTCATTTCAAGAGACATGCTATACTTAAGTGTTCCCTGAGGAACACCCAGAAGACAAGAGACCTGTCTATTGAACCAATGGATTCTCTAAGTCCTAGGGATACTAAACATCCTAGCTGGTGATACAATATATAGAAAACTGTTGTTCAACCACATTCCAAAAATTTTAGTGTAGATCAGATGGTAGCACCTATGGATTAAGCTTGTTGGTCTTCATTTTTTTTTTAAATCTCCTGTTGGTATTTATGGTGGCCAACCTGATTCTGCATCAGCAAAATAAGTTGCCAACAACCACTAACTGAGATGTTTTGTTTAAATTTGGAAGCTACTCTTTATCAAATAGCTCTTTAAGGTAATATTTTATACAGTTTAAGGTTTGTGTTATCAGCAAGTACCTATCAGATTTATTAATGTCTTTAACTTCTAATGCTCCTTATTATCTAAAGCTTATTAACTAAACTTAATATAAAATGAAGTATCATGTTGCCTTTAATCTTCTGCTTGATACACCAAATCCAACTTTTCAGATGAATCCAGAACAGCAGAGAGATCTATTTAATTTGTAATTTGATCAAATTGCCTGAATCAAAGGAATTAGTAGGCTTCTTGTTGATCCCTGAGGCCATTGGTCACACCATATTGTTGAAAATGCTAACTTGTGTTGATGGTAACAAATAGTAGATCCCTTTTTTCCATACTTATTATGGACCTAGTTCATGTAATCAACTGATACATGTATTCTGCTTTGGTTATCTGCAAAATAATGCTTTTAGATCTTGGATGATTCAAAATAGTCTTGTTGTATATGACTCTGCAATAATGGAGTCTAATCTACTTGTAGATATCTAGTAAAAGTTGTGTATGTGTATATTTTTAATTTAAAGCCATCTTAGTTCTTTCAATCAGTTTAACAACTAAAAAATGTGATTGCAAAATGCACCACAAAAAACAGCACTCATCAATGATGGTGTTGAAAAGTATGTATAGATTTGACTTGAGAGATCCAATTACTTCAGCTATCTACTTGCTTGAAGTTCCTGTAATGCATTTGAAAATGTTTCATCTTTTATAATTATAAATACAAATCACAATTTCAGCCACATGTAATGATGTGGATGGCTTTTCAGTGTCAGAAATAAAGTCAAGATCAACTAAGCATGTTCTGAGAAAAGAAACCATAGTCTTCAGAAAACACTATTTAGTTGAAGCATCTGAATTCTAAAGGATTTCATCTTTGTAGTTACTCTCCACAAGTTCATTTGGAAAGCTGTGATTTCTTATACTGTACTGTCAAGTACATCCAGTAGTGTCACTCTGATATGCACATACATGGTGACTCATTATACAGAATAACCATGGTGAACAGATATTAAATGCATTGGATAGCATCATGGGACATATAGGGGCATTTGTGTCCAATATTGTCTAATGGCAGCAATGCTAGCTTCAAATGGAAAAGTAGTTGAAACTGGTGGTATTGGATATGACATGGTTGGTAGGTGAAGGGTTCACATATGGCTATAGATGGCTACATGATGAGAAGATCTATATTGCAGCATACAACATCCAGAATTGAATGCATAGGATGGATGGTATAAACTTTGCCTTGTGGTATTTTCTGAGCCACTAAAACCCCAGGACTAAATCAACTGTTCTTCCAAGTTTAGCCCAAGGAACCTCATCAAAATTCTCATATCTGATGTTATAGAGCTTTTATCTTTTTTGTTTATCAATAAAAACTGAAAATGATAGAAATGTATATAATGTCTTCATGCTTAGCTTTTGGTTTTTAAGTATCTTATTCTGAAAAGTCTACAAACATCATTCCAGTACTTTTTGCCCTCATTATCAGTATATGATGCTTAAGACAATGATGACTATCTCATGCTCTTTTTTCTTTTTGCAATTATGATGTTTTTTTATTTCTAAAAGCATTTAGGTGCCTAACAAGACTCATATTCCAAGTGTAATCTGATTCCATATCCTTTAACTGCATGGGGAATATTACTGCCTACTGAAAGCTAAGCCAGTTGTAGAGCCTTTGGAAGGTGGCCAATTCATTCACTATCCAATCAATCATTTCTGCCTTCCCCTCACTCCATACCATACAACATTAAACTTTTCACAGAGACATTACCATTGCCTGGAGTTTCCATCAGGTTTCTGACCTCTGTGACCTGTGGAATTCTGTGCAGCTACCAATGCTGCAGATGGGATCTGCTTTGTTCTGTTCTAGCTGTACAAAGAACATATATGTGATAATTTTCAAGTATTAAATGTTGTATATGTTCCTTGTGACCACTGTTGCAGCAAAACCATGTTCTTGACAGAAGGGATCCCTTTTTAAAATTTAAATTAGATTATATAAGCGGCAAATATAAAAATGCTCATGAACATGTGGGTGGCTTGTGGGGGTAGTAAATGTTACCAAAGAATAAGCATTTGGGAGCCCCCCACCTCATGCAGGAGTGAATTAAACATCTTAGATGACAAAAATGCTGAAAAAAAGACATGACTAAGTAGCAGAAGAATTCATTACCAAGATGAGCTGTGGAAACAGACTTCATAAGGTAGATGGGGGCAGATCTGCTTTATGTTTTAGTCCAAACCACAGGTGGTGTCTGAAACTTATCTTAGTGACTGTTTTCGATCATTGAACACCATGTGACATGTTCTATTCTTTGTGATAGTAAAAGTACTTCGATTTGTGGTTGCAAATTCATCTACATGCATGGCATTAGCTCAAACAGTCCATCAAGAGAATATCTTCTTTTGGAAGAAAGTAACCCACTGATGCTTGACAAAAGATGATGACGGAGTCATGCCTTTATCTCTCATCTCTAATACAATCAGACATCCATGTGAAGAGATCATCATTGACTATAGCAACAGTATTAGTTTGAGAAAATGCATATGAGATGGAGAAGTGGGCATGGATTGGAACGGTAGATTAATATATATTTTGTTGGGATGAACAGGACATGAATCAATAATCTATTACGTGCTCCAGTATAGTGTAAGCAAGAGTAAATATATATTTTAATGGGGAGATGTAGAGTGGTTCTTCTTCTTGTTCCAGCATCAAATTAGCTGTACTTCTCTCCTATGATTTGGATCCCTAAATGATACTAAAAGTGATATGTCCTGCAGATAATTCAGCAACCATTCATACAGAAGAATCAAGGACCCTTCATTTAAAATGCTTTGGAGAAGGAGCTCAGAGGAAGCTTCCTGATGGAGTTCTAAAAGATCTACAAAGTTAGTTCTTTATACAAGAATTTAATTCTGAGTTTAGTAAGACAAAGAGAATTTTGAATCTCAGTTGACCAGGGAATGTAAGTTAGATTGATTTATGTCTTATTCTTTGCGCAGAAGTAAAAGATATTGACCAATCTATGCATAGATTGATTTATGAATTCTATTGCAGAAACAGTTCATCATACAAGATGTCATATATTCTGATGTTTAGGCTGATTTAGGGTTTCTTCATGACACTCAGCTGAAGCATTCATCTGCTCTTTCTTCTGTAGAACATCACGGGCTCCTGATCTTTGTTTTCCTTGTGTGTTTCCTGACTTCCTCTTCCAGCTTCAGATGAACATGAGCAACCACTGTTTGCATGCACTGCTGCTGATGCCAACAGCCATGCAGCAGCTCATCAATGCTTCTCTCCAGTGTCCTAATCTGTGGCAGCTCATGACATCTGATACCTATCAAACATGTTAAGCCATACCGATCCTTGTTTTCCTTGCGTGTTTCCTGACTTCTTCTTCCAGCTTCAGATGAACATGAACAGCCACTGTTTGCGTGCACTGTTCCTGATGCCCATGGCCATCTCCAGTCAAGGGAGGTCCTCAACAACTCACCCAAGCTTTGCCTGGTCTGCCGTGATCTCTGGCACATGTACATAGCAGACATGTAAGGCCACACTCATCTCTGTTTCCTCCTGTGTTTTCCGATTCCTGCTACCAGAAGCAGGGCTTTTGCTTCGCATCGCTTTTCGTGGGTGACGGTAGGCCACGATCCGGGCCGGCAAAATCGAACCGGCGGTCCGATGCCGGACCGCACGCGGGTCCTACAGTGTGCTTTTCCCTCCCCTTCCGGAGGAGTGCGTATAAAACGCTAAATACATCGCTACGCGTCCCTACAGACCCGACAAGTATACCGGCCTTATGATTTGTGGGCAGGGTGGCTCCCACGTTTTATTCCGTGTTACTACTCACCAGCGAAAAGGACGCGAGTCCCGTCGCTGTCCACATGTGGGAGGAAGGCACGCGCCGAACCGTACGCGCCACGTCACCCCGAGTTCGATGATGTTAAGCTCGCGGATCCGTATAACTAAGCACGATTATTGAAGCCTAATTCGACGACTGGGGAGTGTTAAGCTTGTTAGCTTTGTTCTTCGTGCATGATTGCCATCGTGATCGCTTCTATTCACGGTTTTGCCACCGCCTCCAAAAGAGTACCACAAAGCTGCGTGTGTGTCGGATTAGGTACGCGCGTCGGGCGTCCCCTTATACGCCACAGTTCCGTGCGGCTGATGTCTACGTGTTGGGCGCAACATAACATCGGTGCATTTTACGTGTCATGGATGCCAATTAAAGTCTGTGATCGAAGTGAAAAGGAGACCTTTATGCACTATAGAATATTGTCGATAAAGCTTTCCCTTAACCTGCAATTAAGAGAGAGGGTAAGGCAATTGCTAATGCTACAACACTGTGTGTGGTAGTGGTAATAACGAGAGCTCACACGCTTGCACCGATTAAAAGAACTCGACCTGCTATTTACACGGAGACAAATATACCCACCACGCCATGCTCGCCACTCTTCTCTCGACATGTGGCAGGCCAAACGGACGAAGGCGGACGCTGCGACGTCACCCCAAGTCCGCCTGACCTGTGATTGGATAGCGTAAGTGGGTCCCTACGATCGCTGACTTACCCATGGATGTTTGAAGTGAGTTTTATTGTCGTAAAGCCCTCTTATGAGATACAATTACGGATTGGTCCTTCTCTCGCGGTTAAACTTCGTTACTCTGGGGGTTAAAGAAAAAATACAGACCAAAGGCGGGGGCTAAAGTGCATATTATCCGCCAGTGGAGGAAGAAGAAATAGGAGGCGGCCTTCGGACCGAGAAGGAATGCTCGTGGTGTTGTTCTCTCTCTTAGTCTCGTGTTCTTCGCTTCTTCTTCGTCTTTTTGGATCTTCGCTTGTCGGAAGACGAGCCCATTGAGGGCCGAAACCGTCGCCGTTGGACCGGCCGTCTCGCCGGGAAACGAGCTCCCCACTCCGGCGGCCATGGAGAGCCGCACGGCAGCGGCAGCGGAGGCCTAAGGGTGAGCGGCAGAGCTCGCCGGAGTGAGCAAGATGAAGGCGGCTGCCAACGGAGCGGCGGTTCCCAACCCCTGCGAAGGTGAGTCCATTTTCCAGCTCGCTTTAGCTGTTTTGTCTGCGGCCGGTGGCGGCCTGTGGATGACGCGTGTAGCGGTGACAGGGGACAGGAATACGATAAACCCAGAGCTGTGGCACGCGTGCGCTGGGCCGCTCGTGACGCTGCCGCCGGTGGGGAGCCTCGTCGTGTACTTCCCGCAAGGGCACAGCGAGCAGGTAAAGAGAAGAGAAAGGCAAAGGGGCTCTTGCGAAGCCTGTGATGTGTGCAGGAGCGTGGCCACCGCTCCCTGCTTGCTTCCTAGCGTGACCAAGTCCTACGGATTGGGAAAAGATTTCTGCTTTTGATGCTTGGAAGCTTTAGTGAAGCTTCTTACAGAAATCATTCATCTCTTTATGTGCACTGTTTCCTATTTTTCTCGCCTACAAATTATGTTGACTTGTTTCCTTTCCCGTTTTCTGAACGATACTTTTTGGCATGCCATTCTTCAATCTTTTAATGACTCATTTCATTTAATTCCTTATGAACGGATTTGACAAGCTCTTTAACTTCTTAAGGTCTTGTGGCTTCTAAATGAAGCGAAATGGGTCTTCTTTGTCTTGGTATTTTGGGAGATCTGCAGATACCAGGAACTACAGTTCGGTAGTTGGTTTAATTATTCGGAATTAGTATTTGCTTAAATCAAATCCAGTTTCGAATGGGAATCACTTTGATTGCTTCTTGGTGGTTCATGTTTCCTTGTTCAGTAAAAACCCTATTTTTGATTGATCTTCCATCATTTGTGAATATTTTTCTACATAGTATCCAGACCTCACTGCTCCATTTTATTGTCTTTTGTCGACTCTGTGATTTGTGCTTGGTAAGAGAACAAAACAAGAAAGATGGGTTGATGTTTGCCTTTCTCTTTGTAATTGTTGGCATGATTACGCCTTCTTTTTCTTTAGTGGTGCTCTTTTTTTCTGCATCATATTTGTAGCTTAAAACATAAGCTATGTTCGAGTATGAGGAAGAGAAAAGGTGTTTAGAAAACCATTCATTTCAGACACAACCCAGCTGGATCTGTTTTATCTTATAAATATCCAATTGTGGCTTCTATGTGAAATTAGGAAAGCCAGGCCACCACCATGTCATTCTCAGATCCTACAGTTGGATGAGCCAAGATTGTTTTAGATTCCTAATGACCCCTGTTTCATTGTTGATAGCTAGCCTGCTATACATAGAAACTGTTTGCAAATAAGATTCAGTGTCTCTGGTCCATATCTTGTGCATTACTTCATATTGGACATGTGTCATCTCTGTAAATCATATATGATAGTGGAGAACCTGCCTTTGAATGTTTGGTGGCCTTCCTGTGACTACTGTATGGTGAAAATGACAATTTATATATGCTGGAAAGCTATTTAACTGTTCTTTGTCCATCTAAAAAAATTATATATAGGCCAACTTATTTCAAGGTTTTCCTGTGGCTACTGTATTTCCTCTGTTCCCTAGCTTTTTCATCACTAAACCACTTTCATGATGAATAATGTTGGATCATATGAATAAATTTTAAAAACCACAACTGAACTATTTTGCCATCAGGTTGTAGTTTGTATTTTTGGACTTGCACTTGCATTAACATTTGACTTTCTTTGAATTTTTTTAAAATATTTTGTTAGTTTTAGGTTTTGGTCGTTGTTTAAGACAGTCTGAATCTGATGTCGATTGGATTCAGCAATTAATACATGCACTAGATTAGATTTTCACTTTTGTTCAATAATCTAATTTATGTGTGTAAATGCAGTTGGTTAAGCTAATAAAGTTTTGATAAATAATAGAAGTGTATATTGTTCATATGAAGTAAATAATTGAGGAATATTTTAGGAACTAGATTGAGGAAGTATGGAACTGACAGCTGGCTTGTTTTGACTCGATCAGTGGATGAACTACTTGGCAACTGTTCATGCATTATGATGCGTGCTATCCTTTTATAAGCCCAAGTTATCAAAACTCTACTATAAGAAAATTATCTATGTTGTTTAAAACATGATACTTAAAAATCAAATTTCTTTAATGAAGTAAATTAAATTGTCTTATTTCCATTGTACTCCATAATGTTGGTAGAAAAGATTTGTTATATGCCTTCGCTTACATGGCTTAGATTCATAATATATATACACATACAATTTCAGGTCGCGGCTTCTATGCAAAAGGATATTGATGCTCATGTTCCAAATTATCCAAATCTCCCCTCAAAGTTGATATGCCTTCTTCACAATGTCACACTGCATGTATGCCACCATTTCTTGATATTTATTTGTTCACAACAATGCAAGTTATGATTAAATTCGGTGGTGGACATTAATTTCAATTGCTGGTTTTGTAATGCTTTAGGCGGATCTAGAGACAGATGAAGTTTATGCTCAAATGACTCTTCAGCCAGCCAACTCAGTGAGTCTATCATGTCTTGTTTTTTGATGCTTCAACCAAGCTTTCAACTTCTAGCTTAAGATGGATAAAAAGATGTAGGTGGTCAGGTGGCAATTCGATGTGGAGATGCTCAACATCAAAGTCATCTCATGTACTTGGTACTCTATCTATTAACCACTAAATGTTGACCAAAATTAGAAAAACAACAAGAGTGAACTCTAAAGAGAAATATGACTATTAGGTCACCCTGATTTAATTCTTTGCTGCATGAGAGTTTTCTATCTCCTGGTGCTGCTCAAGAGCTCCATTCCGAAAAATTACTTGAGAAATATGGCTTTTAGCTTTAGAATTAAAAAACCATAAAGGTTGCATGGCTAATGTACTTGATATATAACGATACGGACAAATTCTGTTTCGAAGGAAGAAGCAGATACAGTGGCTGCTACCTCGTACTTTGAAACCCATTAGTCATTGCTGTATGCAGTAGATGCATCTCTGAAATCATTTAAACCCTTTCATGGGCTCACTTTTTTTCTTCTTGATACAGTATGACAAGGAGGCATTGCAAGCATCAGAGCTTGCATTAAAACAAACCAGGCCACAGACAGAATTCTTTTGTAAAACACTTACTGCAAGTGATACAAGCACTCATGGAGGTTTCTCTGTACCTCGTCGTGCTGCAGAGAAAAATTTTCCTCCTCTTGTAAGAAAATCTAGTCATGTAATCCTTGCATGTGATTCAACACTTAAGGCAGTTCTTTGATAATCCATCAATTGCTATAGGACTTTTCAATGCAGCCACCTTCTCAAGAACTGCAGGCGAGAGACTTGCATGATAATTTGTGGACCTTCCGTCACATCTATCGAGGTGAGACACAAAAAAGGGATCATTTTACGGGTCTTTCAAGTCAATGTTCCTGTCCACTTTATTTTTTTACACAAAGTCAAATGAATTTGTGTAATTCTTAGTCTGTAGAACATATATTAGAGGTTATTATTTTGATGCTTAGTCAAAGAAAAATAGTAAAAACGACTAAAATGTGATGACTTGCTGAACATGCTCTGACTGTTGCATTTCTAATTGACTTGGTATTCTTGAAAGGTCACGATCTTTCTGTGCAATCTAGGTCAACCCAAAAGGCACTTGCTCACAACTGGTTGGAGCTTATTTGTGGGTGGAAAGAGGCTCTTTGCTGGTGATTCCGTCTTATTTATTCGGTAAGTCTAACCTGAACTGTATGATGTGCACCAAGGCTATTATTATGTTTTCTTGCATCTAGAATGACAGTCATCCAGACATTATGAGGTAATTTTGGTTTATCTAAGAATGCATGCTCAAGTTGGTTATTATTTTAATAGAAGATTTATGATTGTTTCTTCCATATTCTCCACAACACGATACCAGTTGTCCCTTCTTCCTTGTTCTTAATTTCAGGTAGAATTTAAAGCTGAAAGATCAATATTCTGGACAAATCTCATGTGTTTTTCCTTCATTGTTCTGATGTTCAGGGATAAAAAACAACAGCTTCTTTTAGGCATTAGGCGTGCTAACAGGCAACCTACTAACATATCATCATCGGTTCTTTCAAGTGATAGTATGCATATTGGGATTCTTGCTGCTGCAGCCCATGCTGCCGCCAATCACAGCCCATTCACTGTATTTTACAACCCAAGGTATGTTTTTTCCAATTGCTTATTAGAAAAGCCAAAATTGGGTCATCTACAAATTTGGTGCAATCAGTTGTCTAATTTCATGTGCATCTGTTAATACAGTGATAGACTAACATTGCTCTGCAGGGCTAGTCCTTCAGAGTTTGTTGTTCCTTTTGCAAAGTACCAGAAAGCAGTATATAGCAACCAAATATCACTGGGTATGCGCTTTCGTATGATGTTCGAAACCGAAGAATTAGGAACACGAAGGTATGAAGCTTATATTCATTGATGCGATGTGATGTGTATTGATGCCTATTCTAGTGCAAGGATGTCATGGTGACCAAAAAGTCTGGTAGGAATGGTAGACTCAAACTGGTCTAGTTTAGGTTTCTTTCTCCATTAGACACTGAAACAGCCTAGATGGTAAGAAAATTCACCTTTTATTCTTGACAAAATGCAATTCGATAAATTAAACATTTTGTTGCAACAACGACAATCAAATGGCATCAAATTACACTTTTAAGTTCCACATAAAATAAAATAATTATGAAACTGTAAAGTTGTCTTAATGGACATGATATTCGTGCTGTAACTGCACAAAATAAAATATGTATGCCAAGGAGAGATTGGGATTCGACAAAGTTCAGCATATACTGGTTTCTTGAATATTTTGCATATAGTTGGGGAACACTCAGGTTAACACACAAATTAATTGTCGATGGGCTTCTGGAGGAGACTACTCGATCTTTTAAAGAGATTGTCTTGCCTCTTTCTGCACTTTAAGTGTTGCATATGCAATACACTTGAGAATATACTTGAATGGTCAGTTATTGCCTAAATTGTGGATCCAACTTAAGCACCTATTCAGTTAGGCAACCAGCTTTAGCAACATTATTCTGGTTTTGCATTCCTGTTTATGTAATAAGCTAAACTTCTTATTTCTAAACTGACAACTGCTTTCTTATTCAGCATAATCTTTTCGTATTTATACGACATCCACCACAAATCTATCCTATCAGATCAAATAAGCAAACTTGCTCTAAAAATACTGCAGGTACATGGGTACAATCACAGGTATTAGCGATCTAGATCCTGTTAGGTGGAAAAACTCACAATGGTGCAATTTGCAGGTTCGCATTGAACATCAATGATTTTTTGTGCTTTGGGTTTCAAATCCATTTAGTCTTGGGCTTTTGGTCTAACTAATAAATTATATTCGTTATCTTTTTACAATTTATTCCCTACTAATGACCTTCTGCATCCTTGACAGGTAGGATGGGATGAGTCTGCAGCAGGTGAGAGGCGCAACAGAGTTTCTATATGGGATATTGAACCTGTAGTAGCTCCTTTCTTCATCTGTCCTCCACCATTTTTTAGAAAGCGACCCATACCACCAGGAGTGCCAGGTATTTGATGCATATTCCGTGAACAGCAATCCTCTAGTAAAAGTGGATTTACATCCTTGCAGAACATTCTTAAGTTCTCTTCCCCAGTAAATTCTAACAAACTGCAGGATATAGCCTTAAGTAAGCATTTTCTACAAACATTGAAGTGCTTACTCCCAATTGTGGGGTTATCTTTTTCACCACTGAGTTCTATTTAGAGTAAAGTTGCTCCTATTTATCGAGGTGAGTTATAGAAACCGTTTCTCTGCTTGCTGAGAATTGGCTGTGTACATAAATCGTCTCCTAACCTCACACTAGCTAGAGCCTTTTGTGTTGGGCTGTGCTTTTTCAGCTGTCGGTTGACATCACTGGTCACACATTAAAGTGCTTGGCATTGAAAAAGAGAATGGGTATTTTTGTAGCATAAGAAACAATTTATTGATTTATTAGTGGCTGGAGAAGAACCACATATTATTGAAGTGGAAATCCAGTCACTAGACAGTAAGCAGGACAGGTGAAAATTGTAGATGAATCTTGATCAATGAACTTGGTAAGTAAGGTATGAAATGGATGATGAGATAGATGCTGAATTGACAGTTGTTATTGCAGATGATGAATCATCAGAAATGGAAATTTTTTTCAAGAGGGCAATGCCTTGGCTTGGAGAGGAGATCTGCATAAAGGATTCTCAAACTCAGAGCACTATAATGCCTGGCCTAAGTTTAGTTCAATGGATGAATTTGCAGCAGAATCCCTCTCTAGCTAACCAAACCCTGCTGGCAGAAACTTTGCAGTCCCTTAATGGAGCAGTTATGCAGAACCTTGGCACAACTGATCTTTGTAGGCAGTATGGTTTGCACCCTCAAACATTGCAGCATAATAACATACAGTTCAACACTAACAGGTTCCCTCCACAAGCCCAAGAAGTTGATGAAATCGTTAAGGTGCCAATTCCACTGAACCAGTTGAGTGTTGCTAGTGCACCACCACAACAAATGCCAGATTTAACCGTGCAGACAAAGCATCAATTTGTTAACCAAGCATTACCGAATCAGAGGCACAACAATGTTGTGCAGCCACAAGTACTGGTCCAGACTCAAGTGCAGCCACAGCAGCAGCCAGTGCTTCAGAACAATCAGCTATCACAATCCAGTCTCCCACAAGATCAGCAACATCCTCAGCAACTGCTTCTGCAACAACTAAGGCAGCAGCTTCAACAGCAGCAACATCAACAGCAACACCACCAGCAACTTCAGCAGCAATATGAGCAACAGCAAAGTAGGACCCCTGTTATGGTCCCCAGCCAAATGAATGAACAGTTATCTGACCAACACATTCAGTTGCAGCTGCTAAAGAAACTCCATCAGCCACAGCAGCAGCAGCAGCAGTCATTTTCACAGTCCAGAATGCAACAGCCTCAACATTCTCAAATTCAGGAATACCAGAAAGCTGCCATAGATGTACCACAGCAATTATCAAACTCCCATGCACAAGTTCAGCAGCCAGCAATCTTGCAACAATGTGCAAAAGCTATTTCACAGGTTGCAAGGCCACAAACCTTTCAGAACCAGCCACAACAAAATCCTCCTCAGCAGCAACTTCTACATGGTGAGTTGCATCGGGCATTTCTTCCTGCCTCACCAGCAACCAATCTGATCCGTGCTAGTGGCAGTTTGCTTGGTGCTGGGAGGGCACAGTCGGGAGTTACAGATGACATCCCATCTTGCTCTACATCACCTTCAGCAAACAATGTAGTTATTCTTCCCGATTCAATTTTAAATAGGACCCAACACTGCAATATTTCAACAGAAAAGATGTCTCAGTCAGTTACAATGCTTGGTCCAAACTTCTTCGAAGCTGCTGCAGTGAATCCTGACATCTCCAAGGAAATTACTAAAGATGTACATGACGCGAAGCTTTTGATCCCAATTTCCAAGGTGCAAAATCAGGCTGTTGTTGCCCCTCAGACATACATAAGCAATGCAGTGCAAATGGATTGCTTGGACACAACCTCTTCTGCAACTTCAGTGTGCCTATCTCAGACTGATGGACCTTTGCGTCAAAGCCTACCTCTCTCTTCTTCCAATCAACCGTCAATGCTAAGAGATCCACTTCCAGATATTGATGTCCAGGGCACAGATCCAAGAAATAGTCTCCTATTTGGAGTTAATATTGATGATTCATTGGGAATACCTCTGGCCACTGATAGTTTGCTAATTAATAATGTTGATTCAGGAAAGTATCAGAATCATATCGCAGGAAATGTGGTTGCCAATTATAATACCTCAAAAGATATCCAACAAGAGCTATCATCAACAATGGTTTCACAATCATTCGGAGTTCCAGACATGGCATTCAATTCTATTAATTCAACAACTAATGAGAATGGTTTCTTAAACAAAAATTCCTGGGTACCGACTCCACCACTGCCACTTCAACGCATGCGCACTTACACGAAGGTTTGTGGTTTCAGTTCTGGATGTTATGACATTTTTTTCTTTTAGCATTACCATATGACAAAATAATGCTCCTCTAATCTGAAATTTTGGAAACTTTGGATCAGTTTGTATTTCTTTTACATGACAATTTTACAGATCAATAAAATTACTTTGTCCAAGTGCATAAACTTCTATATTTTAATTGCCAAAATGTAGAGCAAGCAAATTATTATGGCAACAGTAAGTTCTGTGAGTTCAGAGATGTGTCAAATCTCCAGGGTAAATTTTCTAGTGATGAATGTAGATTTGATCCAATTCTCATGGTACCTCTTGAGTGAAACATGATCTGTCATGATACGGTATAAAAATCTTCAATGCTTGACTATATCAAACTGGCTGGGCAAACAGTTATAGAAATAAAATTTGATATTAACTATCTTTTAAGATTTTTGCATCTTGGTCATATCAAAACTCACCATTTCTACTTTTTCTTCTTGTGACATAACTTGTGACTCTATTTGTAGGTATACAAGCGTGGAGCTGTTGGTAGATCGATAGATGTCACACATTATTCAGGCTATGATGAGCTGAAACATGATCTTGCACGAATGTTCAGTATAGAGGGGCAGCTCGAAGATCGGCAAAGAATTGGCTGGAAGCTAGTTTATGTAGATCACGAGAATGATGTTCTCCTTGTGGGGGATGACCCATGGGAGTAAGTTTACATAATTTTATTGTTTTATTATATATTTTTTGGATTAAAGAGTATGCCAACACTCTAGGTTTTCTGAAAATTGAAAAAAATACACAGTGGTAACTAGGGATCTAGAAACTTCTGTTTGGCATTATGGTTTAGGAGACACTTACTGGAAAAATATTCATGTTTTTCCACTTATATGTGAAAGAACATGGGTAATAACATGACCATGTAAGTAAATTATTATCATGTGTTCAAGTGCCCTGTTGTATGTCTTTTGGAAAAAGGTAATGCTTTCTAGAACTTCCGAATATCTGAGGAAAGTACATATCAATTGGGATATAGAATCAATTTTTTAGAAAAGATAAATACCGATACTCTCTGGGATTGTTCGATACTTGTATCTTTATCTACGACTTTATGTAATGATAAAGCAAGGTGACCCAAGTGCTCCAACCATCTAAACTTAAGAAACTGACTTTTTAAGTTGGAAGTCTGCTACTTAAGTATTGAAGTGCCTGTGAAAAACCAACAGCAAAGAGTTGTAAAGAGTTATACTATTACTGATGTTATGCAAACTAGTACTTCTGCTATTTTATTTTTTAGCTTTAAACCAATGGTTCTCTGTTGTGATGGGGCATAATTACTTCAAATGTGCAGGGAGTTTGTGAACTGTGTTCGGTGCATCAAGATATTGTCCCCACAAGAAGTCCAACAGATGAGCTTGGATGTCGATCTAGGGAACAACAACCTCCCAAATCAGGCTTGCAACAGTTCAGATGGTGGAAATCCCTTGAGGGGCCATGGAGATCAGAACTCAGGCAACCCTTCGGCTGGATCATATGATCGCTTTGAATGACATTATCGTATGATCATTTGGAATGACAAAATTGGCCATGCAGTGACACTGATGGTTGTTTTTCCCCGACAACAGTTGTTCAAATATTGAAGTCTCAACCTTCGAACTGCACAGCTGATGGTGAAAGCAAGTTACTCGAGTAGCCGCAAAGGATGACAAATCCACCCAATTACTTCCTAAGGGGAATTAGAAATTGTGCTGGTGAGTCATCCAAATCAAGGTAATAGTAGGATCCTATCAGGAGTTGCAGTTTTTGATGTTGGAGATCCATTGTTAGTTAATTTCAACTCCACTCTTCTGTTACCGAAAGCTTCAAGATTTCCTAATATGTATATGTGAATCATCTCAACAGAAAGCTGGGGAGATGAGCTAATTTACTTAGGTATGAACATAATGTATTGCCTAATGTAATTGTAATATGTTTTGATTTTTGTTCTGGTTCAAAACATAAATCCATAACTTTTAAAATCATGATAGATCTTATTAGTGACTCCAAGCTTTAATAGATAAATAAGATTCATGGGCTATTTTCTATTTTTAATAATTCTTAGGAATTTGAATCAAATCATCATCAAATTATATTATTAATTTCTTTTGACAGGAAATGCTGAAAAATATATAGAGAATCTAGCAAATATGTTTTTGTTGATCAATGAAAATATTTGGTTTCACTTATTTCATGTTGTCTTTAGCATCTCAAAATTATATTTATCTTCTGAAAGTGAAATATCTATATTCATTTATCCTAGTAATGTTGGTTTTACTAATGAAAATACAAAAACAAAGGGTAAAAAGATGATTTTAACATTCTAATTTGTGGTAGTGAATGATATCGGTGGTGACAAGCGACGATGCCACTGGAGGTTGTAGATGACTGTTGTGGATAAGAAAAATAGTGAAGAGATGTAAGAATTGTTCTGCATCTATGTCGATCTCGACATAATTGTTAAGCGATTTTTTTGTTGTTTGGTAACTGTGTCAACGTCGATGCAGATATAAAGTAGTTCTCACCTCTCGTCGTTGTTCTCCTTATCCACAATAATCACTTACGACCTTCAACAACGTCGTTGTCCACTACTATTGATGTTATTTATCACTATTAATTGGAACGTTAAAATTATTTTTTATTTTTATTTTTTATATTTATGTTAGCAAAATAGATGATATTAGGATAAATAAATTTAAATATTTTATTTTTAAATTATATGGATACCAATGTAATTTTTTAAAATATAAGAACTAAAATTGTAGCTAATGGTGATTAATATGTATATGCATCAATCTCATTTGAATAGGTCGGTACACTGTCGTTGAAACCATCGACCCAGTCCAGTCATAACCCTATTAATCCATAAGAGTCGACCGGGTACGAGGATTGAACCGGACCGAAGGATGAACGCCACTATATTAGCCATCGCGGATGCCATCGCGTCTCTTCGAAATCCTAAACCTAAATCTCGGGAGCTCTCGCCACTGCCGCTGCCGCGATGCCGCCCAAGTTCGATCCCACCCAAGTGGTCGACGTCTACGTCCGGGTTACCGGCGGCGAGGTCGGCGCCGCCAGCTCCCTCGCCCCGAAGATCGGACCTTTGGGGCTCTCCCCGAAGAAGGTGGGTGAGGACATCGCCAAGGAGACGGCGAAGGAGTGGAAGGGCCTCCGCGTCACCGTGAAGCTCACGGTGCAGAACCGCCAGGCCAAGGTGAGCGTCGTCCCCTCCGCCGCCGCCCTCGTCATCAAGGCCCTCAAGGAGCCCGAGCGCGACCGCAAGAAGACGAAGAACATCAAGCACAACGGCAACATCTCGCTCGACGACGTCGTCGAGATCGCTCGGGTCATGCGGCCCAGGTCCATGGCCAAGGACCTCGCCGGCACCGTCAAGGAGATCCTCGGCACGTGCGTCTCCGTCGGCTGCACCGTGGATGGGAAGGACCCCAAGGATCTCCAGACGGAGATCAGCGACGGCGACGTCGAGGTGCCGCTCGAATGAGCTCTGCTGCTGCCATGGTTAGGTTGCCTTTGGACTCAAAGCCTTTTTGCTCAAAGATGATTCCTTTAGTTATGTTTCTTGTTCCGAGACTTGCGAGTTTATGATCTGGTAATGTATTGGTGTCTTCAACAATCTGATTTTGATCAAAGATTTAATTTTCCTTTAATCGTTTTGATTGATGTCAAGATTAGGTTGGCAGGTTTTGGATTTGATTGGTTGACGTAGTACTCGTAGGCATTGTTTTCTCGAGTGTCAATAAAGGTTCATTGTTAATTACACAGAGATTGTTAATCATTCATAGAAACAACTTGCTCTGCGCACGCTAAAACTGTGTATATCAACCCTCATCAAACCTCACATTGATGGGATTCTTGGGCACTTGCCCTCTTCTTTCTATCATCAATTATATGCATGGCAGATGCAAAATCATGATGTGAGGGACTGAAGAATTCTTCAGCTTTATTTATGAAATCAGAAGGCCTTTTCCTGAAGGAAAAGTTGATCTGATTCGAAATGCACAAAGCTTGTTTACTTAGGAGTTGGATCTGTTCTGTGCCTTAATTTCTTATGCTTGATAGTGGTTTGATTGGATATATGTTGTTTGTCATGTTTCATCAATGAACTCTTGTTAAGCTCCATGCTGTTGATGTATTTCTTGAGCTGCATGCAGCTACACTCTAATGGGATGATGAGTCCAGTCTTCTTTTGGGGATCACATGTTTCATAAGATACAACTAATTTGTTCAGAATTTGACATGCCATTTCTTTTCATGCATCTGCTTGAACATATTTATTGTACAAGAAATTTTCATATAGGAAGGGAAAGGGAGAACAAAAGACAAGAAGAAAACCTAGATTTAGTTCCATCCTATAACAAATCATTAGGTCACATGCTTAATGCAAAATACAATATTGTAGTACCCTAGAGTATCAGAAAACCTAGATCTAGTCCTTTTTTGGGATCAAATGTTTCAGAAGATACTACTAATTTGTTCAGAATTTGACACATAATTTCTTTTCATGCATCTGCTTGAACCTTTTGTAGAAGAAATTTTCATATAGGAAGAGAAAGGGAGAACAAAAGACAAGAAGAAAACCTAGATTTGGGTCCATCCTATAACAAATCATTAGGTCGCATGCTTAATGCAAAATGCAATAGTGTAGTACCCTAGAATATCAGAAAACCTAGATCTAGTCTTCTTTTGGGGATCAAATGTTTCAAAAGATACTATTAATTTGTTCAGAATTTGACACAATTTCTTTTCATGCATCTGCTTGAACCTTTTGTAGAAGAAATTTTCATACAGGAAGAGAAAGAGAGAACAAAAGATAAGAAGAAAACCTAGATTTAGTTTCATCCTATAACAAATCATTAGGTCACATACTGCATGCAAAACACAATATCATACAACAGTAAAAATCTATGTTTGAACTAATTTATTTAATGAAACCACAAACTTATAGTCAACCCAATGGCCCACTTGCATCATGCCACCCCTCTGGTCTCTGTGGACCCCAAATTTACTGCTTAGTTTAACCACAAGTTGAAGTTCTTAATCACCTTGAACTTTATAAAGAACACCCATAAAATATCTTGAAGAAATCGATTTAGGTGGAGTGAGTCATGCTTGAAAAAAATTTGTCATGAAGAGTCATAGATGTGAGGTTTTGTTCTTATTTCAATAGCAATTGATGCATATACAACTAAAATGCAAGCCTATGGCGGACATTTGAGTATCACTGTTGTTGATTGTTATGAAAAGCATACACTTTGAACTTTGCCACTGGTGCAGCATAAACCCAGAATAAAATGATGATAATAACAAAATAAATGTAAATACCACTGGAAACTATTGTTCTTAATCAACAAGAGCAGATCAGAAAACATTGGACAGCTCACCAAATATTGTGCTAATAAAGGACATCAATAAAGTTGTAACTTGTGCAGTAAAAGAAATTGATTGAATTCAGAATTACTGTTTATAATACTTAAAACTGTAATTTTAAAGAGCAACACAACAATCTTGAATGATTGGGTCAATAAAGTCAATTATGAGGGCATGTGATCTTTCAGGAAGAACAACACAACAATTTTGAATTCCTTTTGTAATCGAATGGAGTTCAAACATGGTGGACTGCATCCTGTTGTCACCATACAGAGCACAAAGATTTCAAGTAAACTACAAATATGTCTGAAGTAGCAAATGTTCTCAATTATATAACTTGATATTGGTTGTCATCAACAAGTAGCAGAAATTAAAACTAACTGATCCAAATGCAGTAATCTTTGCGTGTTTTATTTTGCTGGCTCGCAAATTTCACCACAGCATTTCAACCTAAACAAGAGAGAGGAAGAAGCCCTGTACTTGAATTATTCACCAGATGATGGATGCTATAACAGTGGACAGCACAGAAAGCCACAAGGACAGTGTAGACCCATTTGACCGGCAAGAGTATCACCTAACATACCAAACCTTCAGCCACTGATCGAACAAAGAGACAAAATTCTTAACACAAACGACTGAGGTATCCGACTAAAGTTCGATTTAAACTCAGTGTAGCGACCATCCCATTAGAGATATCAGTGTCTCCGAGTTGAGTCGAAGGAAGAGGCTCGGAAAGGAGCTTTGAGCTGCTGGAATTCCTGGAACTGACCATTGTCGTTTTGCAGATGGAATGGTTGTGTCGTTGTCAATGGTTGTGCTAATGGTTGCTCATCTTGCAACAATCCTGTTGTTGCATCGATCATATTTACTTCAGGATGAGTAGTAAATGCATTCTTTGTATTGACATACTTGGTAGAACTTGTTCCAGGGTTAACTGGATTCCAGGAATTGGTTGACAGAAGAGAGAGAGCACTGTGAAGATCCGGTGGTACATCCAAGTTAGAAGCAAATACAGATGCTTCCAGATCTGCAAAGAATAAGATTGGAACCTGGTTTAGAATCAAGTCCATAAACTCCAATGTCAACTTGAAGATAAGGAATGTAAACTAGGTAACCAACTAAAATGATGGTTTTGACATCTAACTTTCACCAGGAAAACAACGCAATGAGATCTATTCAGTTATATCGAAAAGAATGAGGAAAATGCATTAAGTAGCTGCTCTCTGAGTTCTCCCAAGCTAAGGATACGAGAAGAATTACTGACAGAGGCATTACAAGCAAAGGATTTGATGTCCAAAATGATAGCTTTGAGGCCAAAGAGTTGATGTATTATAAGAAGGCAAACTTCTTAGATGAGGCTTCGACCTGTCGACAGAAGCAATATAGGTGTTTTTGTCACTTGAAGATAACTTCGAGGTTACAAAGGAACAACCTTACCAAATAATAAACATGAAATCGTGCTTCGAGCAGCCAAATAATGATAGGTATCATGGTCCATGACAAAAGAATGAACAAATACCAAATTCCAACAGTGAGCAGCTGTCAAATGAGTTTTGCAGTGTTCACAAAAAGGTTGCAAGGATTCAAATGTCATTAATAATAATAACCTCCAAATTCGCTGAAAACCATGAAGAGTCAAGTAGGGTGGTTGATTACAAATTCTTAAAATCTTAAGAAGCGACTCCACAAACATGAAGAGTCAATTAGGGAATTATAGATGTTTGATTGGAGAAGTGTCATGTTTAATCAGATGAAATATTTGGGTTGTTGAGTATCAAAACCAAGGAAGAATGAAAGCAATTGTTAAAAAAGGTCAAATGAAAGAAAAAAGTGATTCTTGGAAGAATTAAACATGTAAAAAGTAGCATGACATGAAATATCTTGTATTTTACAAACAATCTAACAAGAAATCACTGATTCTAATCCAATTCTCATAGTTTACTGCCAACAAAAGCAATACAGGATTCAGAGGACTACTGGATCTAGGCAGTATCCAGGTATAACACAGCTTTGCTGATTCAATCATATGTTTGAAGAAGATAAAATGGACATCTCAACCGGTTGCTGTTTAACGCCATGCATTTGGGCTCAGCATAAATTCAGCTTTGCAGATCCATTTGGACATCTCATAGTTAGCTAGGTAGAATGATCATGGAAATATGATCAATGCATCATGCAGCATAAATTTCATCTTGGGCTTACAACATATATGGTATTAGGTCTAGGGTTGAATTGTATTAGTTAAAAACTGATACTTCTGATCTGACGCCATATAATAAATGGAGTTACTTAGATGTAAATCAAGTCAGCTGATCATCCCTCTCCAAAAATCTACCAAAGGATCATATCTATAGTTGAATTTTACGGGGTTTCCTATTGTCAGGTTTCCATCTAAAGAGGTAGTATTTGTGATCTTAGTGAAATAGAATATATTTTGTAAGCAGGCAAAACCTAATATTCCCTTAAAACCAGTCACAAAACCAATATATATTTGCCATGTCTAATCTTCCCTCTTTACTCTCTTAGGTCTTCTTTCATCATCTACCACTTCTATTGTTGAGTAGGAAACAGAACAGAATCAATGGATATATACTCCTATATTAAATTCAAATACATATCAGACAAAACAGATAATGCAATTTTAGAGAGAGAAGCTAAATAAAAGAAGTGAGATCTAAAAATAATTGTAAATTTTGAACAAAAAATTTAAGTAGTTGGTAAAAATATCTTAGAAATTTATTTGATGCAATGTAGACTGGTATTGTGAGTTGAAAAAAGTAAAACACAATCAAGAAAATGATAGTGGTGAATTTGAAAGAAATTAGAAAGGCAAAATTTTGTGTCAAGTACATGATAAAAAAATGATATATAATGCCATTCTTAGATGTAGACATTCATAATTAGCATAAAAATGCAATAGGAAGGTCAAGTTAAATGCACAAATATGAGCTAATTAACATTCTTCATCCGTTGAATTATGAGCCTGAATATTCTGCAAAGTAGATTGACATCATGGTGCATGCTATGTCACAATTCTTTCAGATAGATGTCCATAATGTTTTCACTAAAAAAAAAAAGAATATAGCATTCTTAATTTCTGCTCATCAACAATTCAAAATTGTTTACCCTTTAGGCAAATGTCTTTGTTGAGGCTAAACAAGTCGATTTGAAAGTTGCTATTGAAACTAATTCATTTTTAACCATATTTTTCAACATGCAAATGAAAATATCAAATGATAAATTCAGCAGGTACACAGTTGTCTTACTGAAGAAACATATATGGCATTACTGTTCCCTAATTAAGGACCACAGCAAGTCCTTCACATATCATGTTGCGGTGTGGACAGAAAGACAACAACAATGTTAGTATGTGTATAACTATGCATCAGGGTGAATAAATACAGAAAAATTAACAGAAATATATTTTTCTCAAAATACCTTTCAAGTGCTTCGAGGTGCTACTATGATTCAGGACTTCAGTGGTGATGCCCTTTAATGGCGAGAGTGGATCCAAGTCATGATGAAAAGGGGTGATATCATGTGTTTGACAGGTGCTAGAAAATTGCAGCAGCCCAGTACTGCCTCCTGCTTTATTGGACTTTGTCCAAGATTCTTTAGGTTGAATAAGCTTGAAGCTGCCTAAGTCATCCCATGGGGAACTTACAGTTGCTGGCACATTACACGGAGGAGCTCGACCAAAAACAAGGTTCATTTGATGTCCATCATCTGTAGAGAACCACAATAGTATCAAAAGTATGCACAGGACACCTTCATACAAGTTACAATGAAAATACAATAATCAAGAGATCTGCAGATGCAACTTAATCTACTTGCGGAAGCAGCCAGCATATACAATTTAGGAAAACAAATGGAACATCATAACTTAACAAATGTCAAATGTTGTCCCACTTGCTTGTGTGAAATGTCTAAATTATTTTCATTATTATAAGCCAAAAGAATGTTCTAAAATCTGTCCATCAAATATCCATTATTCTTTTCAGGAAATGAAAAAGAGCTGCTTGAGGCCACCATATTCTGAGGTACAAAGATTAATTGAAGTTGTTTATTTCAGGGGCTAAAAGTCAAGTGATACCATGATCTGATGAAGAGATCCTCGGAGAACTAAAAGAGATTGTCATTGGTTGTGGCTTTCTGCGACGTACATTATGATCAGATAAACGCCTGCGGCAACTTCGCTTGTTCTGATCAAACTCAGACAAACCATGAAACCTGGAAGATGGCCAAAACATTACGTCCACTGTGAGACTTTGACAACCAAAATCATAAAAGAACATTTTGCTAGAGAAAATAAGGTAGCCATATATCTCCAGAACATCATAGATGTTACAAAACAACACAATATCCCAGAATCACTCCTGTGGAATATGCTACTATTGAGCCCTAATGTGATACCCAAATCCACAGTTACCAATGTTTTCCACAATTCATTAGTTAAGAACAAAAATTCAGTGTCATTTTTTACCTTGTAAGTGCCATCTAAGGATGTTCCCTGAAAAAAATAGCCATCTAAGACTGAGTAACTATTACAGGCAGCACAACTATATAGGGCACCAAAGTGCTTCTATCTAAATGTAACAGGGGCTATTAATAGGATGGGTATTAGAGGAAAAAAAATCAAAAGAAAACTCGGCTGCAAAGAAGCAAGCTTCATGATATCTTAATTTGACTTTCACAAGCAACTAAAAAAAGTTTCACCTGCTGCACTGTTGACAAAAACGGCGCTCCTGACCAGCTACGATCACCTTGGGAGACTTTGAGTGGTTTACACAGACTCTATGTTTTCGGTGATAATCTTTAGCTGTTGTAAGGTCAATGTTACACCCTTCAACCTGGCAATAAAAATTTTGAAAGGTCTGCTGAGACACCCTAGATTTCTTGACTAACGCAATGGACGAGGTTATAGAAGCTGAGGAAGACAAGTTCTCAATGTTATTTCCTGCACCACCATCTTCAAAAGAAGTCCGCCCAAGCTTCAAACCAGTGAGTGGTTCCCTAGAGTAGCCTGCAGTCACTGATGCAGGTGATGTTCCAGATCCCTCAACCCTTGCAAAGATATTCTTGTTCAGATTATATGGGGCTCGTTCAGTTGAATCAAAGTTGAACTGTGACTTTCTCTTTCCTGTCTCGGACAAGGAATCAATGGATGCTGAGATGGAGCTCTTGGATGAACGATTGCCCAATTCTAGAACCGAGGAGGCACCACCACTAGATGAACATACAGATCCATTGCAAATACGTGCACCACCTCCAATCTTAGAGTCGGGTACTTGTGCAGGTTTAGATAATTCACTTTCTTTTCCACTGAATAACTCCAGAGTTTCCCAATCCCACTGGAAAGGAGTTTTTGGAATCCAGTCCATCAAAGAAGCACTTGCAATAGATTGAAATAATTATTCTGATCAAGAAATAACAAATAAATACAAAGTTCACTATCTGGTGCTGGATCAGATGAAGATAATTCAATAAAAAAAAGTCCACACAGCTTGGGCAATCACCAAAAAATCCAGAAAATGGTCTGACTTCTTCCATCATTGATGACCAAAGCTTTTTAAAGCAAAGTGAAAATAGGCATGTGCTTATCTGATCAGGAAACCAGTAAGAATGAACAAAAAAAAAAAAAAAGTTTTTACCTCTAGAAGTTATGCCAGGATGTGGTTTATCTCCATACGCATTAATGGCAAGAAGTAATACCTACACTTGTTTATCTCATAAGATACTGAATCCCAATGCTCGCAAATTCCCTTTGCCGACATGATGACTCAGAAGCATCTGGACATTCCTTTCGCTTTCTTTTCTTACAGCTGAAACGAGAATGACAACACATCACAATTTCCCCAATGTATTGGTTTATTTTGCCGTGGATCTGATCAAAGTCGGTAACACCATGTGGCTGATGAGGAAATTAGCACAGATACTCTAATGCTCCCCAAAAGGCAACCAACACTAACTTGCCCTATTGTCATCACTAACTAAGATTAAGCTCTCTGATCAACTTAATCCCCCGTGCTCCAGTACTTCTCTCAAGAGTTGTCATGTTCCTTTTTCTATCAAAGAAGACTTCGTACTGTTCAAACACAAACCATTCTTCAGATTAAAAGGAAAACAAGCGACAAAAGGGTCAACTTGAGAAAGCAATATCTGACTTCCTACTCTTGGATGGTCGAGGGTGGAAGGCGTCGAACTTGAGAAGGTGCCGCTACTATTTCCTTTCACACAGGGCCTTTCAACTTCTCCATCAGTTGCAGCACTGGTACATCTGGAAACAAACCAAAAACGAGATATTAAGGGAGAGGTGTGCTGCAGGAAAAGATAAAGAAACTAAACGTGATATGTGAAGACAGAGATGGGTACGTGCACATAGAAACACTACAGCTTGGTTCTTGTTTATTTTTCCCCTTTTTTGACCGCAGTCCCACCAAATCAGTGCCTTCTGCCCGTGACAGCAACCGAACACAGACGTTTCTGCCACGGAAAAATTGCCGAAAAGAATCCGGACGACAAAATACATGAATACAAGCTAGTTTTCTTGTTAGAGTTTCTTGTTCTTATGTTTTTACAGACTTCGCATCAAATCTAAATCACACACGCCGACACACAAAACCCTGCTCTCAAAAGGATACATCAGATAAGAAAGAAGAGAACTTTGGCCTTTGACCAAGACGCCATCGTTCCACGCAAGCTTCCGCAACGGAGAGCAACACAGAAGTAGAAATCGAAATGCAGTTATTAACTCAAAAGAAAGAACAGACCGACGAGAAACTCAAAAAAGGCGGAATTTTTAACCCTAATTATTGATTCCGTAGACTGGCTAAAGAAAGAACAGACCGACGAGAAATCCAAGCTTTCGGTGGTGGTGCATTGAAGAGATAGCGGAAACAACCACCACAAACTCACCTTTACAAACAAACCAGGGAGCGATCACGTGCGGCCGTCTGCCGCTCCAGATCTCTCCTCCGCCTTCTCCACGGCGATTCCTACGATCGATTGGAGTCGTGCAGAGGAGCGGCGGCCGATGCAGCGTGGAGTGCGGCACCCCCCCGCCCCCCCCTGCTTCTTCCGCTTCCTCAGTGAGCGGCGAGATCAAAAAGAGAGAGAGAGAGAGACGATATGTGGAGAGATCAAAGAGATGTGGCAAGCTGGGAATATATAGCAGAGATGAGGGTAGAATGGGAAACCAAACGAACGATAAAGGTTCTAAGATTATTACAGCTTTAACCAATCATTACCATACGCTGAGTTGGGATACGGTCACCCTATAGTGAGCTTTCGGAGACTCCGCATCGCGAGTTAAATAGCTTCCTATTGGTGTTCAAGAAGAAGAAGAAAAGTAATTTTTGAAGGGAAAATATCAGAAATAAAAAATATTGGAGGGGCAGTTATCACTAATTAATTCAGATAAAATATGTCATTATAAATCCAATTGATATAATGCAACACTAAATTTCTTTTTTTTTTTTGGCATCTAAGATATTAGTCCAGTGGTAGTGTGTCAAATTTACTCCATATCTACTTGTAAAAATTTTAACTATTAATATAAAACTTTTAAGATTAAATCTTATTTTTATCAAATATTATTTATAAAAAAATCTTTGAAAAAATAGTATTCATAGAAAAACGTGTTTCATTCTATTTGCCTGATCTCATTCCTTTGAGAAAGAATATGAACATGATATGGTGAGTGTTTGATTCTTTGTTTCAGGGAAAATGTGATTGTAGAATGCTTTGTTTCAGGAAAAATGTGATTGTAGAATGCTGCTCTGACATTAAGAGAATACGAGGAATGTTATGTAAACAAGCGACTCATGACTCTTATGATACAGCTTTTGGTGCAAGTCAACATTTGCTGCTTGGTCAAACATTTGATTCAAACTTTATCTGTGATGAGATCACTTGGTGCTGCCTTGTACCGCACTGACCCTTTATGATTGATCATCGATTCATATCATTCACTGGTTGAAGGTTGTCACATCTTGATAATCAGATTTATGAGAAGTCGGATGTCCTGATAGAAGTAATTATGATTGATCATTGAAACCTGAGTAATTATGTCGAATACTAGTGTTATGGGATTTTATAGTTGATATCTTAGTAATTATGGAGGATACATGAACGTTCCATGTAGTGACTAATTATAGGAGCATTCAACCTCATTATAGGGTCTCTTTAGAAGTATTTCCCACCTCACACCGGTTTCCAATAGGATGGGTTGATCTTTGAGTCTTATGTATCGACTTTAATGTTACTCTTCTGTCACAAGTCGAGATATCTTTCCTTTCTCTTACAAGTTTTTTTCGATCCTCTAGCCACAAGTCGGTCAAGGTTTTTGCTTTGTCCTCAAACAATCCAAGGAGGTTAGCTCCTCCCCTTCGTTAGAGGAGGCATCTCCCATGAACCCAAAGGTTTTTTTTTTTTGGACTTGGAGTCTATGAAAAGTTTGTATGACTACGATTAAGTGGTGAGTGTGCCTCTCCTGGATTGCTTGCAAATAAGGTATTATATCCTAGTTGAATTCAATCTGCAAGTTTCTTAACCCGGTTAGCGCCCTTTATGTAGGAAAATCTAGGGATGACATCACATGTGTAATGGGAGAATATAAAATAAAAATATCAAATTTTCCAACAGGCATTCATTGTGATGCAAAGATTATTATATAAAAAATTACAAAACTGAAAATCACGTGTAATATAGTTGCGTTATTTAGGGAGATCGTATATCCCTGAATTCTTACAGATCTATGGGATAGGATGAATGAGGTCAACTGTCCTTCTCTCTAGTGGTGATCCACACGATAAGGGCTACGAAGATGCTCCTCGAATCATTATCCAAATCTCCACACCTAGTGTCTAAGGAGGAGAAAGAGAGAGAAAACTAGGAGATAACAACCAAGAAGTCTAGCCTATAGCCCTTTGGTTCTTTCATATTTATAAATATATCTTATCAACTTAACCATAATGGATCATGCTCTATTGGGTATTGGATCTTCATCCAACTACCCAAGTCTCTTAGATTAGTGGATCTCTATCTAATAATCTCTTATTAGCTCTTATTAGATCTCATCCATAAGATCCAATAATTCATGGGCTTATTGGATATCTAATAAGATAGAGACTCCAATGGATATCTCATTTCTGAACCTCTACTCGTCGTAACACTTACCATATGTGTGTGACCCTTCAGATCCAATATTGAGCTAGTCGTGAGTCATACCTGTTAGAACTCCTTTTGGCTCAATGAATTATTATCTTCATAATAATTCACTTGACTCATCGATTGTGGACGTACTAGACCACTATGCTGTAGTCCTCAAATGATATAGGGGAATCCAATCCTTTGAACCTATCTATCCTTAGTTACCATGTAACTATAGTCTCTCATCCTTCTAATATCTTAGAGATCGTATACCGGGCATGGTGCTATCAAGCCCATATGGTTTCTCCTCAAGTCTCACTCTAATCGGATTCTCTTGAAATTCTTTTTATCTCTCAATCCGAATGACCTTAACTAATGATTTGTTTAAATAAGAATACATGAGATATTTTTCATGATACCAAGAGTGGATGATTATTTATCGACACTCAATAGCCCTTGTAAGGTTAGTTGTCACTCTCGATGACCGATTGTACTAGATTTGAAACTTTTAAACCTATAAGACTGGTATCAAAGGAGTACTCATACATGATATCTTTGGTGTCTCAAGTCTAATGACCGGATACACCACTAGAATGATAGAATCATTATCTGACAATGAGGAATCATTAATCATCCAACATCTCATAAGCGAATTAATTAGTGAACTTATTCTACAATGAGAACTTATATTGTAGCACTAGTGTCCCCACACGAGCAACTATGAGACCAATTGTCTCTATCATATGGATGATTATACAACACACTAGTTTGTTCAGTTATCTCGATATTTCTCTCGAGTAACCTATGACCAGGATTATTTAGAGTTTGTGTTTCAAGGTGAATCAGTCTTATTATCGTGATCTCATCACGATCTGATTCTCATTGCATAGATCCATGAATATCACAATATATTTATGATTTAAGTAATATAAAATAAGAAAATACTATAATAATAATAAGCAAAAATGTTGTGTCATGTCATATGTGTCATCACTCACGTGATTAGCTTGTAAAGCACCTATAACTAGCATTTTCGACCCTACTCTTGGGTTTTTTTACTTATCTTATGATATCCTTAAGGTATGACTTTGTCTTCCCCTCCACCCAATGATAATATCATACCTCCAATGGTATGAGATATCACATTCTCAAATAGCATTGAACTTATGGTGCTACATGATATTATTGATCGATGAATGTCAATATGCCAATATTACTTTGACCTGTACTCTCTTTATCGCTTTTTTTTATTATGCAATAGGAGAATTGACTACTACTTAGCCACTCAAGGGGGTTTTAAGGTTAATGGTGCCCCTACCAATAATAAAGGTTAGAAGGAGTGCTTCTTTCTCATGAGTTCAAGTTAAGACTAGAGATTCAACCTTGCTTGGTTGACACATTAAATTGATAACACCCATCCATTCCTTTTAGACGAGAAGATGGATCAAGTGCTTCGATTGAGTGTATATTCTCTTCCTTTGAGGTAGCCTGAAAGATGGATGAGGACTAGCTAATCGATGCGGGTCTCAGCTCAGCTCCTCGGAGTATGACTTGAACCTTCAATCACTTAAATTGACCTCTCTTTTTAATCTTCAACCTTATGATTTGGATCTTTTATAGACATAAATCTGCACTCACTGAAGAGGAAGATGCCTGGCTCCTTATCAAGCATGATGAAGCCCCGTTGAACCCTAGTAGTAACTTCTGAGTCATTGGTAGAGGAGTTGGAATCACCTCAGTCTCATTGTCATGGTAGCGCCGACTAATCAAGGAAGAAATATAAAGTTATGAAGAAGGTAAATAGAAGTCGCAGCAAGCATCAATAGCAACATGTGAAAGATGCCGATCTTATTCGCCATGCCTCGATGGAGGCATCTGATAGGTTACAAGATGAGTCTACTGATGTTGTTGTAATTTGGCTGGTAATGTTTGCTCTTCTTGAAGAAACAATAAGTTTATATTATCTTGCAGCAAACATATTTTCTTGTGGTGGAAGTCATGACCTTCAACCTTATTCTCATGAGAAGAACTATGAGACCAGTACCATATTTTTACCTCCGATGAGATAAAAAATGCTGATGATGTTGCCAATCTTACTCATCACCAATTAGAACTACATTGTTGTTGATGAGCATCCAAGGTCTATATAAAGCCTGCATAAAAGAGATCTCTTTTCCCAAAAAATAAATTGAATTTAATATATAATTTTCTTTGAGAAAGTGATTCCACATTGGTCCAAAAGTGAAGCTAAGCTTGGAAACAGGCTAATTGTGGAGTCTAACTTTGCATAGGACTCTTAGGAACGTCAAAAGCACATTTATATTGTTGAGAACCTAAGAATGGACTCTCATCTTTTTCAAACATTCTCAATTCACAGAAAAAACATGTGATGAATTCACGGTCTAATTTAACTCCAACCCATCTTGTTCTAATGTTTGAGGTGAATTAGAGGTCTCCAAATTTTGAATAAACTTATTAATTATATACAAAATGAACCTTTGGGAGGTACCTTAATTACCAATTGTATTACTTTTATTGATAGAAGTATAGTTGAAATTAAGCATAAACTTAAGCTGTGGAGATAAACCCTAGAAATTATTTTTTTAGAGTTAATAGGATTAAGACTAAATATAACTTAAGAGATATTTTGCATATTTCAGACATATTATTTGATAAAAAAAATAACTTGATGAAGATGTTATTTTTAAAATAAATAATGTATGTAGCTATAGTTAAAAAGAGTGAAATGATTATATATGATTGTCGTACTCCTTAAATATTATAAAGTCAATTATTTAAATGTATGCAAGTGATAAAGAAATAACATGAGAATATCAAAGTGAATGCATAAAGTTATCCTAAAATAAAAGATAAAAAAATATTTTTATTTATGAACAATTAAAGTTATCTTTACAAATGATAACATAAAATGTCACTCAAGATAATGAGTGAGCCGTGAAAGTAAGATTCGAGTATAGGACCCGGCGATGATATATCAAAGTCTTTAACCAATATTTTTTTTTGGTGTTTTGATTGATAGATAATACTAATATCAAAATAAATAGCTTAACATTAGTATAATAGAAAGTTTTTATTTATTAATTACTTCATCAAATAATATTAAAATTAAAATTTTAACACTCGCTTGAAAAATGATGATTGGAGGAAATAAAATCAATTTATTAATATTTCCAAATATTATTTAAATAAAAAAAATATTTAAAAATATTAGTTAATTTATTTAGTTATTTTTTTTAGAGCTGTCTAAAAATACAAAAATAATAATCAACTTTGATAGGGTATATTTGGTTTGTTCTCTTCGTCGGCAGCTGCTACTAAATTGGGCCGTTCTGTTTTGCCCCTTCTGCTAGGGCTTCGAGTCTTCTCCTACCTCGCGGCCAATTAGCTCTGTTGCTGCCTCGGCTGGTAAGGAAAAGTTGCTTGGCACCATCGTCTTGTCTTTGTAGTTGCTTTAATCGAATGGTTTCCTACGTTTTCCGCAGCAATCTCATTTCTCATTACTTTCTTGTACTAAAGAAGAAGAAACCGAGATGTTTGGTGTCTGATTATTGATGTCCCGTTTCCTCCGCTTGTGTTTTTGGCCGAATGTGTTCATTGGATGTGCTGAAATTATTTGGTTGTCACTTGCACATCACGTGTTTGTTGTTTTGCCTCACCGCCATTGTAGGGTTTGACTCTTGCAGATGTGAGTGTGGTATTTTTAGCTTCTTTGTTGCGTCCATGTAGATTTTATGGGTTGTTGGAACAGTCCAATTTAACATTTGCCATTGCTGTGGCATGCAAGCAAGAAGATGGTGAGAAGACGATAAAGAAAAGAATTTTGATGTAGCATTTACCATGTAAAGACGGTTTAATTCGCCAATGCTCCCTTTTGGCATCCAAATTCTAACCGCAAGTGTCTTTCTTTTTTACCAAATAGTACTTTTGCTACTACATATCTGGTCTTTTAGCAAACATGAATTGTAAGTTTCACTGTAAAGTTACGCTCCCTTGTTGCTTGCTGTAAGTTAAAGGTTTTCTGCTAGTTTCTGTATAACCCGATCTCGATTGCCAGGTTCGAGCTAAGGCCTCTATGGAAATTTACATCGAGTTTCTTGTTTTCGGCTTTGCTCATTCAAATTTTCCTATATTTGCATGGGATATCACTCTTCGTTTGGTAATTGTTTGAAGCTAGCCTCTCACCTTATAATAAGATCTTTGTGCATGTTCATCGGACTCAAAAGATGTTTATATTTGCGAGCTCTATAGTAATTTTTTGCACATTGATTTTCTTTTACCGTTGAGCTAGCAGTGTTCAGCCTCGGTAAAACCATAATAGACAAGTGTAAGAACTAATTTTGTCACTCATGAAATTCCAATATATTTAGGTTAAAGGACCTGTCTTGATCTCTATTTTCTTCAGTATTTGTGAAATCAACTGTGAGCCCTTACTTCTCTTTGACAGAATTCTCGTTTCTAAGTTGAGCTGCAAGTTCCTTTTCCTATATATATGCAACTTCACATTATAATCTATATCATTAGTCTCTTTGCTTAACTTAGTGCATTCTCCATACACTATACTAGAACATGAAATTTTGCTGCCATTACCGATCTAAACCTTTTGTTTGATGTGAACTTTGAACTGTAGTTTCTGTGGTTTACTGCTTAATTCTGATAACTTACCTTTTCAGTTTGATATTACCTTCTAAAAATTAGATAATGCTGTTCGAAACTTGTAATGTTTTGACGTAACATTAGCAGAGTAATTAGGTTATGGCAGCAGATGATGATGGCATCTCAGTGCTGCTTAATGAACCCAGTGAATCTGATGAGAGATCAGTTGAGCTCTTAGATGAGGTTTCCGCTGTACTTCAAGAGTCTATCAAATCAGATGAGAAGACAGCTGAACTCAAACCAGAAGAGGTAGCTTGGGTAGATTCCTGCCTTGAATTTGGTCCAGAAATGTCAGATGATAAATGGATTTCTCTGAAAAATGCACTGCTTGATGCTCTGAGCTCCTATCCTACATCTTACGAAGCCACATCTGCCGCCATGGAGAGCAACGAAGACGACGAGAGTGTTCAAGTGAGCGAGGTGGCAGCTCAAGATCATGTCGCAGAGCATCAACCATCTGAGGAGACACAGAAAGAGGCTGTGGATGTGGAAGTTTCAGTGAGTCAAGAGGAGGTGGAATCACGAGAGAGTATTTTCAAGGTGTGGGATTTGGAGACTCCAGCAGCTGAAGAGGAGGAAGATGAACTTATCCAACAGCTGAAGAAGCTTCTCACCGGAAGTAGAGAAGGTCAAGAAGAGCTGCAACCTAGCAATTCCAGCTTGGCTCTCAGCCAAGAAAACGTCGCTGAACTTGTCACAAGCATGGTGGATTTGTCGCTGAAGCCTTTCGACGAGTAACTAATGAATTTGCCATCCTAACTGCAACAGAGACTACAAACATGAAGATTGGTTCTGTCATTTAAGCCATTCCTGTCTTTTATTTGTTTGTTCTGACTTGCTCTTTGTACTCGAAATGCCCAGTCTATATTTCTTGGTATACTTTAGTCTTTTAACTTGAGAAAATACTGAATGCTTGTTTATTGGAAAGAAGACTAATGTTTTAGATGTCTCTGATCTCGAAACTATGATGGTGTATCAAATTCACCTATCAAAAGCTAATTACATGATATCTCATCCAATAAATTTTTGATATCTACATCGTTTATCAGAGTCGCTTACCAAAGACTTAGATTTTGAAACTTCATCTTCTATGTATTTTTTAACCTAAAATCTTATTACGATTGTGATTAAAAATTTTAAACCTCATTTGCTACATAAATTATTCTAAAATATTGATCCTAAAATATTTATGTATCTCATCTGACATCCATATTACATTTATGTACCTAAAATATTGATCTAATGGTAATATACATAGAGATCCATTAATCATAAGTTGAAATTCAAAACATCATTTAATTAATTTTTGAGGATGCTAATTGGCTTTGATAAATAAAATTGACTGCTTGATGACAAAATCCAGGATCTAATTTCATCTCCACCACTTATTATTTGCAAAAAGATAAAAAAAATACTGAAGAAATTAGCTCTACTTAGCAAATTAACTGACCAGCTGATGAATTTTTGCATTAGACTATGATACAAACTGCAGACATTCCAGGTGACGAGGATGGAGGTGCAACAATCGATAGCTTATTCTTCCCTACAAGTCTGATAGTTTCAGATGGCTTGGCGGGGCAAGAATTTTGACCTGTCTGCTGAGTATGATATCAAGAAGAAACCAACAAAATAAATTAAAACACAACCATAAACAAAAAAAGCTTGCACTAAGAAACCAAAATGTCTCCGAATTGATATCAGTGCCATGCCAATATGTTTTGTCATCAACGATAACACTATGTGCACAACAACATGCACAATAAGCAGATAATATTCCAACCATGCAATTGTAGCTACTGCTTTTAGAGGGTGAACTGATCAAACAACATAAGACCGATGACACTTCAAAACCACCTTTTAGTTGGTAGCATCTGTATATTATGCTCATCAAAAAGTCATCAGAAACCATTTTTAAGAAACATCAGAACCTTTGTGTGTCCACCATTTACGACTATGAGAGCTTGGGACACGTTGGAACCACCGGTGCCAGGCTGGATTTTCGGGACCTGGTGTACTGAGGACAACCAATGGGACAAATAAATCGTTAAAAGAAATTGTACAAGAAAAGAGAAAGGGTGCAAAATCACCAATCTGACCATTGAGCGGTGAAACTCACACTGGAAGGAGGGCATCAGATTTGCCTTCCGTGCTCAAGACAACTCTGCACATTCCATCAGTGGAACAGGAGTGTCAGTAGATAAACATGAAAGGAACGATAATTCAGGACATCAAAACCAAAAAAACCACTTACGCCTTGCATGCTTCAGAAGACGGCTTCATTGTTTCAATTTCATCTAGTTCAGCCTGCATGCACATAGGCCAAACACAACAAAGTCCTTTGAGCTCTTCATGAAGTACAATCATTTAAAAAAGAGACATGATGCATGCACTTCCATTAACCCTCGACCACACTAGTCTGGTGACATGCACTCTGCCCATGTGTTCTTGACATGGTAATAAGTGTTTAAGCAAGCATTAGCCATGTACACCATGTTAATGCATGTATATATGGATACTAATAGATTGAGCAGGTATAAAACCTTGTTTGGAGATTAATCATTCAGATGGTTATCTAAGATTTAGAGCACATCATGGAACCTTATCAAATGACATCTTATTTTGGCCCAAGAATTATTCAGGAGATCGACTGGGATGAGTCTTCGCATTAAGTTACGGTTGCAACTTTACAACCTTGACTTCAAAGGCTTGAGCGCCACAACAACAATCTCTCAACTTGCAGATGCAATGCTGCGATGTTAGCTCTTGTCAGACCCCAGATCTGCAGGAGCCTCATGCAGACCACATGTTTTAGTTGGTAATTATTTATGAAATAAACAACGCTTATGCTGGCTAAGCTATGGGATAACCTGAAATTGCTGAATACTACCTTCAAACTTTCCAGCTCCAATAAAATCAGTATCATCAGAAGATTCAGTTGTTGAACTATTAAACTTTCCTATCCAAAATAAACATTCATTTATACTTAATAAATATAGAGCAAGTATAATGTGATTCACACAAAAACCCAGTACAATGTTCTCTATGCTTCCAAGATATTACATTTAGCATGATTCACACAAACACCTAGTAGTGTGTTCTCAATGTCTCCGAGTTATTACAATCAGCATGTAACAAGTCTTGATTTAATATAATCAGCTATCAAATAAAAGAGTAGGTGGTCTCCAAGTTATTACAATTAGCATGTAACAAGTCTTTATTTAATATAATCGGATTTCAAATAAAAGAGTAGGTGGAAGGTGTTATGCTTTTAATAAAATAATTAGTGGGAACGGCCGATAGGAAAGTTTCGATTATGCATCCTCTCATTTTACCTTTTCCAAGTTCTTTTTTTTTTCCTTTGTGGTGGAGTTGAGAGTGAAAAATATTGCCAAGTAAGAAGCAAATTGGATGCATCAGCATGGACACAGAACTGTCTAATTTCAATAGCAAAACAACAAGAATCCTTCTAAATCATTAACACTTTTTTCATCAAATTTTCCACATAATAATAATAATAATAATAATAATAATAATAATAATAATAATAATAATAATACACTCAAGGTAATACTGAAGTGGGACAGATCTTGGAAAATGTACAATGTTTTAAAATTCTTCAAGATAATTCAAGAAATATGAAAAATATGGACAAATAATATGAAAAGAAAATGAAAATTTGACTTATGCTGTAAAATGTCCATAAATTTTAATATAATATATCATATTAAACCTGGGAACTAGTGCCACAGATTGTCTCGTATATTAGTACTAGGAAAAAAAAAGGAGAAAAGGTAAAATGATTACAATGATCAAATTTTGATACATCATCTTCAGGTGATTTAAATTCACTAAATGAAACCTCCTAGAATGAATCCAGTAATGTTTTCACCTTCATCTGTAATTATCAAAACATGTTTTGGGATTCATAATGATAGGGAGAAGAAAAAGTTCTTCCTCTCGTATGAGCAGTTGAAAGGTACAAGCTGAATTTAATTAGGAACATGCAACCTCAGATCTAGTTACGACAGTTGATATCGGTGCCACTATGTCAGAATTATTAGACACTGCAACACATTTAGTACTGTCATGCAGAGCAAATGAACTGAACATTTATCAAGAGAACCCACCATATGCTATCAATGTTAGGATGTGAAGAGGCATAAACCCTATGTGCTCTTTTTGTCCCTCTTCATCTACTAATCTTTCCTCTCTAATTCATTCCCGTCTATTGTCAAATGGGAACTCTTCTGATTCATGATCCCCCATAAGAACACTCAGTATGTAGACTAATGAGGTCAATCTATGATGCTTCAACAAGAGCCCAAGGCGGGTAGAAGAGTGGAGGCGAGGACCTGGAGGTACTGGATCTCTTGGTTGAGCCGGGAGATGGCAGCCGACAAGCGATGCTTCCCCAAGAAATCGCCCGTCCGCCGCAGCGGACGAGGATGAGACGGCTGCGGCCGGGCCTCCGGCTCCGCGTCCTCTCCGTTTGTCGCCATCCTCTCGCTCTCTGTCTCCTTCTCGCCGCCCTTGAAATCGATCGATGATCCTTAGAAGAAGAAGGAGAGGAAGGCGACGAGGGGCGAAGAAAGGGCGAGGTTTCTCAGAGCCATCGCCATCGTTATCCGAAGAGCAGGGGGTAGGAAAGAGGGAAAAAGAAGAGGAACGCAAGAAGAACTGGACGTGTGGGAACGGGTCTCTTTTACTGATCACGGTCAAACGCACGCGCGGCTTTCAAAGCACCGCTGTGACTGCACGTGTACGGCACTGATCGCACTTCCTCTTCTCTCGTTATATATCTCTCCTTGCTTTTACCTCGCAGCTTGTACTTCTCCAGTGCCGTGACAAGTAGACCGGAAAGAGTTTGGCCTGTTGCACGCGGGAACGGGTCGGGTCCCCCAATTGGTAGATCCGAATCTGAGTCGACCCCGAACCCGATCCGACTCACCAATTAAAATTACTGGAAACTAAAAGAATGGCATACCTTTGATCTTCAATGAAACTGCTTGCTCACAGCCAGAGTAATACTGAAGTCCAATGAGACAACTATCAGAGTCTTGGCTGCAAAAAAACACCAATAAACATTAAATTGATCTCTCTTGGTGCAGTTTGTGTTCTTACAGAATTGATGGTGAGCAAGCAAAATGATTTCTTTGAATCAACTAGAGACATTACCCAGATTTTTTCACGTCATCTGCCACAAATGCATAGGAACAGTAAAAGAAGAGAAGGCAGGGAGAAGAACAAATTCATGTAAGAAGGGAAGTTGGCAATACTATTTGTGTATACAATTTAGGATCTTGCTAAGAAAGACATTAGGTTGCTGTGTTGTTTAACCAAATTTTCCTCTCTTCTCTCTTGTAGATTAGCCCTCTCAAAAGAGCTGGACATCACAGCCGAGCCTGAATTGAAGGCTTTTGTTGTGTCTAACACTAGACTTCAATCCTGAATTGAATCCTGGAGAGAAAACTAAAGCTTCTTCAGCATAACTCAGGTTATTAGGTGTGTCAACCTTCCTGAGCCAATCATAAGGGAAAGCACACTAGACTGATCTGATTAAGGCTGATTCCATACAACTAAATTCTTGAAAGGCTCATACTAGTGCAGAGATGTATAATTGTTCTATACTTAGTTTATTGTCATTTAGTAAAGGCATGCACATGTCCTACAGTTATTTCATTGCCACACATTGGGCCATATCATGCAATAGAAATTTTATCGACTTTATGAACCACCTTAACTTTGTTTTTTTATTTTTTTCCCAATTTTGATATTTCAATTTGATCATAGCCAAAATGCCAGTGCATTGATCTGATCCCTGATTGTGTTGATCGTGAAATTTATGTTGTGATTCCGAAACTTAAGCTTAGTTTATAAAATCTTCACATAGTCTTTTGTGTTGATTACTTCTGTTGCCTACTAGAATAAAAAAATGGACAGCAATAAGCATGTTAACTGATGTACCTGCAGGACAAAACGATCTTCATCACTCTCAATTTTCAATACCACCTTCACTTGTCCACACATCTCCCACCTTTAAACAGAAGAAAATAGACTTAATAAAATAAGGCAACTTTATAACACAGTTGCTAATTGAATGTAACTTCAAAATCATCATGAGAAGTGGCCAAAGATACCTGTGGAGCCTTTGTGCAAGATACATGGCTGAAAGCAAAGACACGAAGGCAAAACAACACTGACATAAATGTTATCCTTCTAGAGGTGTACTCTATATAAATTCAATTAACATCACAGAGAAAGTCTATGAATACATTAACAATCCAGAGTAGTTCTATCATGGAAATTTAGTCTTCTTCTCTTCTGGGACTTCTACCAAACTGAAAGGTTACTAACACAAGAAAATCAGTATACAGGAACAACTGTGTATCAGAGGCAAATATACCAAGTGTCAATGTTCAATGTGAATTAGTACATGGACAGAGTTCAAATATAAAATACTGTGATAACCATATTACAATAATGGAACAAGACGAATAAGTTCCAACATGACACGTAAAAACTAAACTTCCACCAATGAATTTCTGAAGTAACAATGAAATGAGATGAAAAGGTTACAACACAACAGACAAAAAACCGAATACCAAATAACAAACAAGTTGTATATGAAGATATACATGTGTCATGCCCAAGGGCCCATAAAAGAAATGCCTCAAACAGTAAATATGAATTATCATCTGCATATGTAGGCACTCTTACCTGCATATGCACATAAACAGACATATAATTCAAAAATCTGGATCGTGGCACCACCATATATCAACAGGAATGCTGTCTAAAAGGATATATATATATATATATATATATATATATATATATATATATATATATATATATATATATATATATATATATATATATATAGAGAGAGAGAGAGAGAGAGAGAGAGAGAGAGGAGTTCAGTAATATAGAGATTTCCCATTCTCTTCAGAAACTTTATTAATGTTATACAATCAAAAGTTGCCTCCCCCCTATCGAAAAGGTCAAATTTTTGTGAGATATGGGTTGCTGTGGCACCTCTAAACCATCCCTTCTTCAGTTTGTGACTTCATCAACAACACCATGTTTTCAGACACATACAACAAGAATAATGTCTAAGAGCATCAAATCAGGGCCAAATTTTCTCCTCCAGTCTCATGGTAGTCCACCTGACATACTCCTAGGCAAGCCATCGTTACATTTTCTGCAGAACATTTTCTCTATCCTTTGGAAAGCATTCGAATGTGATTCATATATAATATATCCGAATAAGAAAAATAAAAGAAAGCACAAACTTAACATTCCAAATCCAAATGCAGCTTGAAGCTCATAGCCCCTTCACTAGTATTCCAGAACCAATCAAAATTTCACTACTCTTCCTTGTAAGTCAAGGAGAAATTAAAAGGAAAGTCAAGAAAACATCTCATGGCATTCTTCACAACTGAACCCTGCCTTTGAGCTTCACTTGACATACACTTTGCAGTCACATTGATACTCACTCTGCATTTTCTTCGTTGATCTTGACGTCTGAATGAGTGAAACAAATCACAAAATAAACTATGCTTTCAGATATCATATGCTATTAAGCGTTAAATTTCCACAACTAAAGTTTGTGCTCCACAGTAAACATGAAAAATGGATAGTCCACATTTGTCAGTCAATTGACAAACAAATGAAAGAATATTTACCTGCATTGAGCAGCAGCAATCTTCCTTTTTCCCATCTTCAAGCCAATTCTAATAACCAGAACCTGCAAAAGTCAACGAGGTGAAAGAAGAGATTGCTCATAAAGTAACCAAATTATATTTCAGGCTACTCGACAATTCAGAATTCAGATGATGCATTACCATATTGAAGTCCTCGATGATATCTGCGATGCGTTCGATCTCGAGAAAGGCAAGTTTTTTCTGCTTGCTCCCTTCCGTGTCCCGCTTCACCCCGGCGGTGGAACGGGAGATCGCGACGGAGGCCTTGGCGACCAATGATCGAGCAACTAGAGGCTGTTCTGCTTCCTACCGCATAGGGCGAAGCACCCAGCGGCAGTCAAGAGGGGAGTGGAGGCGCTGTGGAGGGAGACTGAGCCGCCCATCGCCAGGAACGTCGTGCTCACCACCATCAACGGCTGTGACGAGGCCGCCGCCGCTCCTTTAGAAACAGCTTCATTATAGAGAAACCCAATTAGATAATTAGGTCGTATTGGGCCTCATTATTGGGGACTCATTAATTAAAAATTAATAATTTAATAATATTTTTTTTATCAAAATTAGAAGAGCGAATTTCCGAAAATATTTTTTAAAATTTTTTTCTCGAGAAACATTTCTTATTTTCGGAATTTCCAAATAGTGTTTTCTTTTTCCTAATACCTAAAATATTCATAACCACACATCTATTTTTGCTTTCTTTTTTTTTCTATGAAATGATCCATAAGTTAATTCAGTTCTGATATTTACACTATGTTAATAGTATTTTTAATAATATCAGAAAAAAAATATATAATATTATAATATTATAATATAGTGTGTTCATATTGCATTATAGTGTTTTCTTAGTGTTGTTGAAAATAAAATTATTATATTATAATATTTTTATATTGTGTTACAATATTTTCTTAACATTACTGAAAACATTCTAAGATATTATAGATAGTCTTTCCTATAATGCATTTATAATTCAATCCGATACAATAAACGAACCGCATGACCTAAAATAATAGACTCATCTACAAACACCATTAAATTGCATCAAAAGTGTAACGAACGACACCTGTGATGTAATTTAATGAAATAAATATCAGATAAGGATGAATCCAATAAATTAAAAAACAAAACGTGGTCTAAATAGAGTCGCAAGCAAAACACGTGACTTTATTCCAAAAGTCTTCTCCCCATTCCTCCATATTTTATCCTTTTTCTTCTTATTATTCCAATTTAATCCTCTATGTAATTTAATTTATTTATAGGCCCTCTGAATCGTTATCATATATATGAGATATTATAGCTGATTTTTCGTCATACGTTGAATTCAAGTCACATTTTATTTGCAACCATAGAGATAAAAAATAATTAAAATAAAATTTGAAGATTTAAAGATTTATATATTATTTAATATTTTCGAAGATTTGAGAAAAACAATATAAAATATATTTTTTATCTGGCAAACATTTAATAGACATGTGATGGAAAACGTGGCACAAAAACCACCCTTTTTTTTTCCTAAAGAAGAGCAATAAATTTCTACCTGTGCGTACGATACTCAAGCCATACCTAATTATAACTGGTCCCTGTCTGGATTTATATGGGTCCCACAAGCAGCAAAAGTAAGGTATAACTGGAGCAAATGTTCCGCCAGTAGCAAACAATTCGTGTTTAAGGTAATACCCTTCTCTGCAAACGACGATTCTCCCTCGCGGCGCGAGTTGTGACTCGCGAGATACCTACGTGGCGGACATCGAGTGGAAGAGTTTTGATGGTCCCCGACCTATCGGTTTCTCAATGTGCGACAACGCCGAGTGTCGTAATTTATGTCGTAGAAGTGGGACATATCGAGACACGATCTTCTAATTTAATGCATTATTTTTTGGCCTTTTCGGTGCTTCTTCCGCTCATTACTTTTTCTCCGCCACAGCTGCAAGGGAGGAAAACGAAGGAAGCGGAAGAGGAAGAGGAATGGCGGATCCTCTGGTGGCGCAGATCCCAGTGGAGAGCAGCGGAGAAGCCGAAGCCGAAGCCGAGGCGGAGAACACGGAAACCAAATCGGAGGAAAGCAACAGCAGCAGGTAGCTCTCCTGCTTCTTCTTCTTTGTTCGTTACCCGTTTCTCCTTCCCATCCCCGAAGCAATTTTGTTCCCGAAAGAAACAACAAGATATTGTTTGAAATCATAGCGATCAAATCTTCTTCTTTCGGAGAATTTAAAGAAAAGATTAAAAACGATTATTTGTTTGGCATTTATCTTGGCTGGGGTTCTGATTTCTTCTGCAACGGATATCGTCTTCAACTTCGGGGTCTTAGGGATTTGTTGCTTAGCGTCTGTCGAAAGCTCTCACTTTGTGTTCCTTTGCTTGGCTTTTACGTCTGTGAGGATGTCGCGTGTGCCGATGCCGACGATGGCGAACCTGTTCGACCCCACGCAGCTCACCATCTTCTACAACGGAGCCGTCAATGTCTACAATGGAATTCCTTCTGAAAAAGTTTGCATTTTGATCTCCTATTTCTCCTTCCTTTCTTTTTCTTGTGTTTCGTTTTGCTTGAGAACTGGAAGTCTTTGAACTGACTCTTTGCTGAATCCTGAGATAGGCACAGGCCATAATGCTCATCGCTGCTGCTGCAGCTACGGCTCCAAATAAGATCAGCCCGACCACCTCTGCCACCACTGCGGGTTCGACAGTACTCACGAGAACTCTGTCACTGCAGAGCTCCTCTGTCTTCGTCACGGGAGCGGTGCCGCATGCCCAGATTGTTCTCAGTGCTAGCAGCCCCCTCTGCAAGCTTCAAGCTGGTTGGTTTCTTTTCTTTCCTTGGTCTGTGATCATGTGAAAGCTCTTCCTTTTATCTCTCTGGAATTGCTGATCAGTGTGGGGATTTGCCTGCGTGCAGAGCTCCCGATAGCAAGAAGGCACTCACTTCAGTGTTTCTTTGAGAAGCGCCGCAATAGGTAAATCTTGTCCTTCTGTTCCTCCCTTAGCACTCAAGCAAAGAGCAATATGGACTGGTATCTGCTATTTATGTATAAAGAAACGAAAGATGATGTTCATAATAAGTATACTACTAATGTTCTGATACTTAACTATGATGATTTCTTGAGAGACAGTTGTGTTTGTAATTGAATTTTTTCCCAGCCAAGTATTATAGATCATCAGTAAATTCAAAGGGAAGGATGAAATCAGATGTGAAGAAAAAGAAAATACAGCAGAAAAATCATTTTGATGTAGTTTGTTAAAGTAGAAGGAAGGATATCCTTTGAGTGTTAGTATTGTCTCCAGGTTCTATCTGATACAAACAGGCATATACATGCATGCCTGTGCATGTGGATAGAGGTCAGAGGAAAAAAGAATGAAGTTGGAGTATCCACTGCAAATTTTGGGGATTAATGGATATTCGACCATAGCTATATGAATTATACCATGCCACAGTGGTGGGTACCCGGAAATTTATCATTGCATTCTAAACACAAAGAACAAAGTGGAAACTTCTCTAATAAAACATTAGCCGCGATTTATGTTCCTCTATATCTTTTACATCGCTCATTATAAAGCCTTCAGCCCTCGAAGGCCAGTATGAGTTTATAATGAGAAGTGATCACTACATGCTTAAAGATAATGATGTGTCTTAGATGGAAGCCTTCACAGACATCCTGTTTAAAATTTAAATATTAAAGTGGGACGACTGTCCTTTTAAGAAGCATCTCTAAGACTTTTAAGTTTCGAAAGATTCACACATGGTAACCCAGAAGAGGTAAAAGATGCAGATACATGTATGTATGTATGTATGCATATTTGCTTGTTTGTTTGTTTGTTTTTTGTGCATCAGTGCACACTCCATGTCTTTTTGATGATACAGATTAACTTGTTCTAATATTCAGTTTATGCCAGATATTAGCACCAATTAGCTTGGAATTTATTTCTACCAATAATGCATTTATCACAGATAAGGGGACCCCAAATCACTAAGTATATGGGAACTCTCTCATTGCCTAGTTTTTGTTCCCAAGTTATCTACATGAAACTATTGTTGTTTCCTCTAGGAAGGTCAGACTATATTGAGCTACATGTAGAAAAATTGATAACACAGATTTATTGTATCTGATCTTGATGTTCTTGTGGTTTAATCTTAGCTTATGTACTAAAATAAATAAATAGTATGAGGCACTGCTATTTTGCACCTAATTTTCTAGAACATTTTCTTCATCCTAGAATAATTTTAGTAGCTGAATGAAGAAACTATTTTATTCTTGCCATTCAATACTTTATTCTATAATAAGTTATTGCAATTCAGGGTTCTCTCTGAAATATTCTTATGGGTATCAGCCCTTTTTCCTTTTAGTTATAGAATATAATTGCTGTGTTAAGATGTTGAACAACATGAAACAGGGAGGCTTCTATTGAGGAAGATATTAAGCTAAATTAAAAAAAAAAAGCCTCTGGGTTGAGATAGGATAGCTGTTCCTCCAGTTGATTTAGTTGATGGTCCCATGATTGTGAGGATGAAAATGAGGTGGAACTCTTCAGCCTGAATGTATTTTCTGGCCACTTAAATACTGAAAACTTTGGTGAATGTGGCCTACAGTTTGTAATCCATGGACAGTCAACTGTGCTCGTTATGCCTGTTGTAATCCATGGCCTACAGGTTGAGTGGTTGACCAATAGAAGTACAGTGTGGTTCAAAACCTAAAACGCATGGAATCATGGTATATGAATCGTGTCTGATTCATCGGTGGTATCATGTGTTTTAAATCTGATTGACTTGCAAGGAACACACTTTTGCACTGCACAAGTGGACGTAAAGGAACACTTACTGTTGTTTTGTGTCTCAATTATTAATAAATTTCCTGTGTATTTATTTTTCCACTGCATGTTTACCATCTTGTTTCGTTCTAATCTTTCATATTGGCCTTTGGTCTTACTGGACTAATTGTTGGTATTCAGGTTGGCAAGCAAGGCACCTTATGCTTCGGCAAAACCATTGGAGGGGATAAAAATGGCCTCAGAGGAAAAGCTTACTTAAATGGGCTTATGGCCACTGACATCCAAACAGTCACGAGCTTCTACTTTGAAACTTATTAACCTAGTAGTATTTATAACCATGAACCTTTATGATCTCTCATGATTCCATGAACACTCTGCTATAATTGTTGTGTTGCCAGATTGATGTTTACGTGATGAAATGGCTCTTGTTTCCTAGAAAATGCATTGAACTTATGGATGCTATTATTGTTGAATCTCAAACAAATTAGTTTGATCTTTTCATGGCAGTAGAAACTTTGAACTAGCTTATGCACGATCAGTTGCTGAACCATAAAATTCTGGATACAGAACAGCTCATCATAAGAGCACAGTAAAAAATGTGTATTGTTCTCACTTTGCTGTGTTGTGAACCCTGGGAAGTTTGCTATTTTGAGATGGTATTCTCTCTCCTAAGTTGCTCAGCATGTTCTTGACACGAGATAAATGTTTTATTCTTGTTTCTGTTTCTGCCAGGATGCCCAATTACACACAGCATATCTGCAGAACTCATTTCACAGCTCCTTTGAAGCTGAGCAATCCACAATGGGATGAAGAGTGGATTCTTCACGTCTCATAAGGTGGAGACACGCAACCATGGTCGGACTTGCTTGCGGTCGCAGGAAATGTTCGCCGGGGGATCCGTTGCAACATCTTCTACAAGTTCCACCTTTGCAACCCCACCAAGATGCCCAGTAACGCCTCGAGTTGGCCAATCGTGGCCACGTGTTAATGCCTTTTCGTTTGGATATTCTTCCTGCTATACGAGATCCAAAGTTACCGTATGCAATCCCCCACGATGAAGCCGGGGCAACCCGATCTACAGCCACGTGTAAAGGTCTAATAGCATTGGATCTTCGCAGCGAACAAGCCCAAGTGATGGCAGTTTGATAATTTTGAGGCACCGCATCGCACCTACTCAAATCTCCAGTCTCCCTCTGTCGCTCATCCTCCTCTCTCCCCGCTGCCGCCCAGCCCACACTCACAAGCGGAAGAAGAGGAGGGGAAGTACGAAGGAGAAATAGAAAGACGCCGGCATTCTCGACTCATTTGTTTTCACGAGGTTGTAATCTGCTCTCTCTCTCTCTCTCTCTCTCTCTCTCTCTCTCTCTCTCTCTCTCTCGTCTTTAACGTA